CTGCTCTACACTAACCTGTCTTCCACGAGTGCGAATATTAGTAGGCTGAACACTTCCTGCCGCGATAAATTTGAGCTGCAAGATTTGAATTTTGACGAGCTTCACCGTAAACTAACAACATGTCGGCGTACTCTTGATTCGAGAACATTGTAAGTAAACACGACGACGTACGCGAACAAAAGCAAAGCAACATACTAACCACTGTTACGGTTTGCGGTGATAGAAAACCGACGCGCTGTTGTCATGTGTGTTTTAAATATTTAATTTAATGATACTTACTTACTGACTACAAATTTTGGCTTATCTTAGAAAAAACTTAATGCCATTTATTTGTTAATTACCCAATTTAAAAACGTTTTAGATTAGATTATAAAAATTAGTAAGATTGTGGTGATTGTGGTCGATATAAAGCACTTAAAGTTGTAAACTATAAAGCCGTTTAGACAAAAATCTATGGACTTTTGGACCATGGGTCATATGAACCTTTTGAGTTGTTTTGACCCCCTATTACCCATTTCAATAATGACTACCATAACGTTTACACGCTGTATAGCGTAGCAGAATGAACGGAAACTGTGTGGCGGGGTATTGGACCCGATTATTAGTTATGAAACTCTCCTTTCAGTGTCAAAAACGGCTGCCATTTTGGCGGAGGAAATCGCATGTGAATTACCCTGGTACAACGATGAAAGAGGTTTTAGTGTTCCCAGCTGTCGGTGTTGATACGACATGCCAGCGGCCGCAGAAATCTTTGCAACCGTAAAATCATAATATTTCGATATGATCAAGTGTAGTTTGTGTGAATCAATAAAAAAAAGTATTGCTGTTGGTCCAAAAAGGAGCGACGGATGATTATTTATTTATGAAAAAGCTTCAAAATGAATTTAAAACGGCAAATCATTTACTATTGCTATTTATTCTACGCTGCTGCGATATAAGCAATGCATTTTCAATTTGAGCAGTGCTAAAAACACCAGACAAATACAACCTTCACTCAATTACAAGAATTTCGGAGCCTTTCTCTCAGGAAAAACTAGAGCACATGAATATTTAAATGAGAGATTTTAGGAGCATTGTTCATCAGTAGAACCATTTTGCACGAATATTTTTTATTCTTCGCTCATTCTAAACAAATTCACTTAAAAAATGCTTGTGTTTTCATGTAATTAAGAATCATTTTATGGAGAGCGGCATATTTTTCCAGTAAGGAGCGTAGTTGCCTACAATTTTTATAATTAACTTTTCTAGGTATTTAAAGTATCACTTAAACATTAAAAACTCGCCGTGTATGTAGCAGCTGAGAAGTCGTCAGAAGTATCAGGTTTGATTGCGATGTTTTAACCGTGTTTATATTGAAAATGGAATGGATTGAGAATATCGTAGCAGCAAAGAATGTATGGCACAAATAAATATTTTTCCGTTTATTGTAATTACTTTCACCAATACGAATTCATTTTAAAACTTTTTGATTAATAAATAGTCATCAATACTTCGTCGCTTCTTTTTGAACAAACATATTCCTTTTTATCATTAGTTCACACAAACTACAGTAGATATCGAAATAGTATATTTTTCTCGATTGCAAATAATACCTGCGTCCGCTGGCAGAGGGTACGTGGTAACACCAGCTGTTGCTGAACACCAAAAACTCTTTCAGTGACAGGAGAGTTTCACAGCTAATTGTTATCTAAGCTGTGGTTGAGGGTTCATCAATGTTTTGACATTTGCCTGTAAACCTAACCTCACTTATGTTATTCTAAACATTGTAGCCGATGGTGTACACCAGGGGCGGCTGACCCTTAAGTTCTGCAGAACTGCCAAAACTTTTGTCTTAACAGAAAAAAGCAGTAGTAATTTTATCATTATTTATTTTCCCTGTTATCACACAAATAGAAACAATACCGGCCTGCCCCCGCAAGACACTGCATCGAGTCTTTTGCAGCATTATACTCGACCAATTGTGTACTTGTCATTTTCGACCACAGCGTAACATTATTCATGGGCCACTTGAAAAGGGTCTGTGCACTACTTCGACACAAGCCGCACCCGCTTGCTTTTGTCTCTCTACAAAATCAAATGCGCGATTTAAGCATAAGCATGAGCTGCAATTTATGCAGATCCGTACAGATCTAATGCGAAGTACGATATCTGATTGGTCGGTCGGTGCTCGGTCCTCGGTATTGGCATATTGGTCTTGTCGCGTGACGTGGCTTAAAATTTGAATGCGAAAAATTTTTTATTCAGGTATTTTAGGTCTTACGTTGAGTGACTAGTAACTCACTGACTGACTGTGGCTGTGTAGAAGGGTAGTGCAAGACAATGGATGTGGTTTACAGACTTATCAGCGTGAAACGATTCTGGAAATACACATTTGAAGGTGTCAGGTCGACCGCTGCCGGACATATTTATAGAAACACAGGGCGTTAGTCGGGGCGAGGGCTATACGCGGCATTTCAGCAGGGAGATTTACACCAGAAATGACTGGATTTGTGGGTGCAACAGGAAGAATGTCCTTTTCTGCTTTCCTTGCATACTTTTCGGGGTTGACAAAGCTTGGACGGAGGTAGGTGTTGCAGATTTAGTGCACCTGAGTGAAAAAATTAAGAAGCATGAGAACTCTAGAACACATCTTCGTAATTCGATGGAATTGGCTTTATAGGGGACTGTTAACATCAGAGCTCAGATATATTCAGCGTATTGGAGAAATATACAACAGCATGATGATACCGTTACAAAAAACAGGTACGTTCTATCAAAAATAATCGATTGTATAAAATTTTGCGGAGCATTTGAATCGGCGCTACCGGGCCACGACGAAACCGAGAGCTCCCAAAACCCGGGAATATTTCGTGGACTGATTAATTTTTCTGCTGGGCTTGATACAACCTTAAGCGAACACATAAAAAATGCTTCAATATTTAAAGGAACTTCGAAAGAAATACAAAACGATCTAATGGATTGTATTCTTGAAGTTTGTCATGAAGAAATAATAAAACAGATTAACAGAGCCTCGTATTGGGCGATAATAGCAGATGAAACAACGGACATTTCGGGGAAAACCTAACTGGTATCAATTTTCAGATACGTATTTAACGACGAACCAGTAGAACGTTTTTGGTATTATATGAATCCCGAAAAATGTGACGCTGATACTCTCACAAGACATATTTAGAGCGTCGTAGATCCATTAATAGGAAATTTCCCTATCAAACTGATTTCAGAAAGCTATGATGGAGCCGCGGTAATGAGCGGACATACTGCTGGAATACAGGCAAAAATTAAACAAAGATATCCCTGCTCACTATGTGCATTGCTATGCGCATCAGTTAAACCTGATTATGTCCCAAGCTGCTTCCGCAAATGCTCAAGTTCGGGTGTTCTTTGGGGATTTGAAAGATATTCCGGGATTGTTTAATAATTCTCCTCAAATCGTAGAGGTACTGAACAGAATTGTGGGGAAAAAAATTGCACAAGGAGCAACAACTCGTTGGAATTTTTATATTCGAACAATAAATGTAGTGTTTGAGAACAGAGAATCACTCATTGAATGCATGGAAGAAATAGAAGAAAATTTCATTAATCAAGCCGTTTGCAAGGTAGATTGCGGTATTCGCCGTATGTTAAAAGATTCTGTTTTCGTGTTTTGGTTGACACTTTTTCATGTCATGCCTCACGTCGACATCTTGTTCAACCAGTTGCAGAAGAGAAAAACCAAACCAGCGCAAGCTAAAACGGCTCTCGATAATTTTGAAAAATGTATTGTCGATGTGAGAAATAAAATTGATGGCATAATAAATGAAGCCAAAAGTATTTGCACTGAACCCCAAGGCAACAAAAGGAGACGACGTAATAATAGCAGTCACGACCACCGAGTTGCCGCATTAGAAGTATGCGACAATATAGTGAATTCTGCAACTGGCAGATTTCAATTCCAAGATCATTTGGTAGCAGCATCCCTTTTTTTCCCCGAACACTTTGGAGAATACTGTGGTAAGTTTCCTGATGACAAGTTGGAAACTACCTGCTTGGCTTATCCCGAATTAGAAAAAAGTCGTTACTTATGCACGGAATGATTTCCGAGATTTACATGGAACTCTGTCTCTTTTGAAATGTTTGATACAAAATAGTTTGGAGGAAACACTAAAAGAAACAAAAAAGCTATTATAAATTATTGTTACAACTCCTATGTCAACATCAGAGGCTGAGCGAAATTTCTCAACATTGAAAAGAATCAAGACTTCTCTTCGTAATACTATGACCCAGGATCGCCTTACAGCGTTGTCGATGCTGTCCATTGAAAAGGAATTTATTTCGACCATGGAAAATTTTAACAGGAAGGTGATCGACAAATTTGCTGCCAAGAAGCAGCGCAGGATCGAACTGACATATAAAAAATAGGTAAGTTCGGATTTGCAGAACACCTGTTTTATTTTGCCACGAGCCGCCACTGGTGTACACCATTGTATACATTGTCTACATCTAAACATAGACAATTAAAGTAGACGGGTAAACGCCCATTTATCCGACCACTCCCGCTATTTTTTTGATTTGGCGCCCCCAGACATCCGTTTGTTCCTGGATTTGAAGAAATTTCTTTCTGGAAAATGCTTTGAGTCCAATGAAGAAGTTGAGGGAGCTATGGATGAATATTTTGACAGATTTCCAGACTTACACTTAAGAGAAGGAATCCAAAAATTGTTGAATCAAGTGTATTGGAGAAGAGGATTAACTTCAAAATTGGAATAATTTTCTGACTACAAATTGCAGTGTTTCATTGTCAGGCCGAAAATATGTGCCGTTCACCGTCTGAAAGACGTGCGAAATACGAATAATTAAAAGAAATATTATTAGGGGAACTACTGTGGTCCTGCTTGGCAGCATTGCTGTGACGATAGAAATTGTACATGAACGTCCAAATACAGCATAGCGTTGGGATTTTTTTTTGTAAAATATATTTTTGCCCAGATAAAGAAACCCTCGTTGTGAAAAACAACATTTACTTGTCTGTGTTTTTGATTTTCGGTATTCCCAAGCAAAAATTCATTATCCTGGAAATCGGCAGCTTCAAAATGATCCTTAGGGCTGTAAGTAGGTGACGCATTATTATCTTCTGTCACTTTCTTCAACCAATTACTGATCGTTGATTGATTTTTATCCGGGGTCTTACTAGGAGATTTTTTTGAATTCATTTTGCTTGGACTCGTAGAATCCGCGATATTTTTTGTTTTCGTCGATTTTTTTGGCGTAGCTTTCACTTCGTTATTAGGTTTTGTAACCCCAGGTTCTCTATTAACCAGAATTTCATCGTCGTATTTTTTCCTGGTTTCTTCTTTATTCTCGTTTCTTGTAGCTTCTTTTTTCTTTTCGCCATCGATCTTATTTTTGTTAGGGGCAGGTTTTGGTTTCTTTATTTTCATGTACATGTCCAAAAACATTTGCATGTATGTTGGATTTTTCTTTTGAGGAGAAGTTTGCTCTTCGTTATTTTTTTTTGGTTGGAAGTAAGCCACACGGTGACAGTCAAAACCCACTAAAAACAAGGATAATTTTAAGCTAAAATTAACGAAATGATGACCTCGGAAATAATGTTATATAAGTCAGCATTTTTCAAAGCCACTAGTAAGCTAGAGCCTCACAATGTTAGTAATATAGCTTTGGGTTAGTGATATATAGCTCGCGAACAAACTAGTTCTAACGAACGGTTCTGATGGCTTTACAAAGTGAACAAGTACCTACATCATTCCTTGAAAACTCGTTCACCACGAACGACTGGTATTACAGGATCCCGGTGATCTAACCGAACTAGTTGTGAGTGAACGAACGAGAAGGAGATGATCACTACCGTAGACAACCAACTAACAGGGGGTTGTATAACTGGTTGTCTGGATGCAATCATGGTTTAGTTGAAAGATACGAGGGCCACGCTATATATTTTGACATACACGAAAACTAAAAACCATTTTTCGAAAACTAGTTTATTTATGTTTAAGGTATTCTCCTCCAGCATCAATGTACTTCTGTAACCTGACCTTCTACAAATGAAATGCTTCTAGCTAGTCAATTTTGTTTATTGCCTTCAACAAACTGATTAATTGCTTGATCGATTTCCTCTTCGGATGAAGATTCTCGACCACGCGTATTTTTTTTTAAATTCTTGAAGAGCCAGAAGTCATCTGGTGAATAAGGCGGAGGTTCTAGTATTTTGATGTGGCGGAACAGATAGTTGGGCAGTATGGCTAGAGGCATTGTCGTGATGCAGGATTGTACCTCTGCAACAACTTTTTTTGAATGAAGATGATCATGCAAAATGATGTGCACTGTTGCGGATCCTACCCCAAGAGTCGCATATGTACAGCGAGAATCTCCTCCAATTAGCCGCTGAAGTGAGCAGTGTTTTCTGGAGTCACACTAGAACATGGCCTACCACTACGTTCTTCATCAGCCAATGAAACACCCCCTCTTTTAAATTTGGCATACCAGCGAAACACACTTGCCCGGGACGGAGCTTCATTACCAAATGCCTGTTGTAACCGTTCGATTCATTGATGTTCAGTTAAACCGACTTTAAGCTCATGGTAAATCATAGCGCGATAACTCTCTCGAGACAACTCCATGTTTCGTCTTAAATTTGTTTACACCACTTCACTGTAAGACGCTTGCAAATGAGCAGAATGCGGCGACTTACTAATAAACGACTGGTCTTTCTAATAGTGCACTGATGCCAGTTTTAACTAGTATAGTTAATGCGCATCTCAAAATATACAGCGTGCCCCTCGTATCAAACGGGCAAAATGAAGCTACTAAAAAAGATGATAAACTTTTATCATTGACCTAGTGAAGGAATTAAAACAATATTAAAATGCAAATGTAAATTAAATACAAATGTCCATTTAAAGCACTATTTTTTAACCTTATTGGCTGGCTTTCGAAAAAAAACTGCTCGACTTTTCTAACCATCCCAAATAATCTGGGACAGACTTGCTCGCTCTCAAGAGCGGTTTGTTAGAATATTTATACAGTTCGATCATCCCTGCTGCGATTGGATTTTGGACTCTGGAAAGACATTTTACCTCAAAGTCAAAAGTGTCCCAAAGGTATATTTCGAAGGTACGTATTGTTTATTGAAAATCTTCTGAATTACTGACAACGAAAAAACAGAAGTGTATCCCATATTATTTGAGGCTGATGTCTATCTGAGCGACAGATTACATGGACTATTTAAATTTCAAATATCCATTTTTCAAAACAAATGATTAAAGAAAAATATGAACAACATGAGGTGTTCCAAAACACTTATCCACCCAGATACTAACCGTACCCAATGCTGCTTAGCCCCGGCAATCGGATGAAAGTCGGTGTTTTCACTGGTATGATAGCGCGTTATGTGGTATTGTTGCATAAAATAGTTCGTTCACGAATTAGTTCCTTGAGATAATTTATTTTAATAAAGTCAGCCTATTGAACTAGTTCACCAAAATGACATTGAAAGCACATCAGCAGCCATGTAGAACATCGAACGGAAGCTTTTAGCAACTATTCTCTATCCAGGATAAACATTTGATGCCGCCGATTCTGGTGGTACAGGGTTTGTCCGGAAAGTAATAGGACTGAGTCGATTTAAAGAAATTTATTGAGTCAATCGTTACAATCCTTTAAAAAATTTCAAAATATGCTCCTTCTGCGTCGATGCAGCGCTGCCAGCGCGATTTCCAAGCATTGAAGGCGTCACGGAAGGCATTCCCCGGAATAGCCTTGAGAGCCGCGATGCATGCTGCTTGGATCAACTCTGTCGTCTCAAAATGCTTGCCTATCATCGGCCTTTTCAGGCGAGGAAATAAAAAAAGTCCGGAGGGGCCACATCTGGGCTGTAGGGCGGCTGCGGAAGCATTGGGATGAAGGCCTTGGTCAGGTAGCTGTTCACAAGAAAGGCGGTGTGAGCCGGGGCGTTGTCGTGGTGCAACTTCCAGTCGGCTGCGATGTCTTGTCGGACCCAGATTTTGGTAAATTTAACATCTGGGCAATTAAACGAATACTTAGTCGACGTTCTGAGTTCAAAACTTTGCGCACACGAGTCACATTATCGGTGTTTGTCGAAGTCGAAGGTCTTCCAGCACGGTCTTCATCAGCGACCTCTTCCCGGCCCTCCAAAAAGGCCTGGTGCCACCGAAACACACCACTTCTTGCTAAAGCAACAACTGGGTAAGCCTGCTTGATCATATCAAACGTCTCTGTCGCAGAGTTACCGAGTTTCACACAGAATTTAATTGCGCACCTCTGCTCTAACGAACTCTGCATTTTCGGCTTGCACCACTCACAGAAACACGTCGCGCGAAAATGCCTGTCCTGACTCTTCAAGTGCTCGGAGACAACTAACCAGCCGCTCATTCGTTAGCTAGGAACGCCCTCTACCGAATCCAGTCGGTGCGCGCACGCTCCGATGTACAGTCATGGCGGAAAAAAATGAGTCCTATTACTTTCCGGACAAACCCTGTATATTAGATACGGTGTACTCGCACTGGTTAATTCTAGTGATATATGGCACTTTGTACTGTCATATTCCTAGCAATGTTGTTTGATTCGGATAAAAACAATTTTTAATTTAGCAGAGACCCTAAACCTCCAAAACATACATTTTCATCCTGGATGTATGAGTACCAAAAATATGTTGAATATCAAAAGCTAAGAATAAGTTATACGAAAAAAGTAGTAATTTTTAATGCGAATTTTTGCTCACCCCAATCTTCGCTTATAAAATGTGCAGCTACTTCTTCCAAATCAATAAAATCATTTATGTCAATATGTCTGGTAAATGATCCATTTTCGATCAAATAGGAATGCCTAGAAAAATTATCGATACAAAAATTCATAGCAAGAAAAAATGAGGTTGTTACTACGAGTAAAAGTCTGTCTGTGAAAAATTTCCTTTACATTTTTTGCAATGGTAAGAATGTTTAAAATATCATTTTACTTACTGAAACCGTTCGTGTAGCAAAATTTCATTCTTATTGCTCCCAACGATAAGACACATCACAGAATTAGTATTTACAGTAGACCGTTCTTCGACATCTCTCAAATTTACTAAATTTACAATCAATTCCAACAGACAGCTTCCTTCATTTTGATAAAGTTTTTCTAATTTTAATTCATATTTTGGAATATGTCGAGCTTCTTCAATAAGTGCGTCTCCCGCTGGTGGTCTTTTTCTAATAATCTAGTAAAAAATTTAAGCAAATTTAAAGGTTTTAATCCAATATCGATGCATTTTCTCTTGTTAAAACAAGCCAACAAAACAAAAAAGTTAAATGTCCGAAAAAGATGTCTGAATTTTCGACAAAAAGCCAAAATTGCGAAATTTGAGTTTTTAAAATATGTAAGTACTAAAATGAAAAGAATAATGTTGATGAAAACTTAAAAACGTATGTTCGGAAAAAATTTCGTAAATGTTACCAACTTGAAATTCGAAATTTCAGGGCCGAAAGCCCGGTTGCCCTGATCCGTTCCAAACCAAAACTCTAATTAGATCGTGCTATTATACAGATGACCACGTTTGAATGGGGTTCTTAAGAGATAAAATCCGGAATATACTTTTCTAAACGACACAAAATCATCAATTTGTTGTTTCGTTTTGTTGAGTCTCTAGAGGGTGAGCATGAGCCCTGAATACTGAATACGCCTTGGTTCGTTTATAATATTACCAATTCAAGATCTCTCGGGTTTGATTCCAAAATCTTGTCAAAAGTAGTCTTTCCAGCATTTGCAAGGTGTGAGGAGTAAACACTTCCTATTCCACTCAATTGTTTGGTTACATAAGGTGAGTTTTCCCAGAGTTTGGCGTTGAAACATTTCCCCAAAATTATTGCGTTTAACAGGGCACTGTAGCATTTATTGCCTCTGGTGTCTAAGTATTCGGTAAGACCTACAATATACAGGATACAGTGTGTTAATGAAGTCCGGGAACGATTGCTCAATTCTAAGGAAAAACTTTTCTAAAACAAGTCCAGAAATGTACCGTAAGGTGTATATATATATATATATATATACATATATATACATATATACACCTTATATATATATATACATATATACACCTTACGGTACATATATAACGGGTGATTTTTTAAGAGGTATAGGATTTGATTTTCAAAAAAAAAACAAAAAATTTGAAAAAACGATTAAATCTTTATTTGAATCGATATAACGGTCGATATAATTTAATGTTTAAAGATTATTAAATGTAAATGTTGGCCGCGGCTCCGCTTTAGATGGCCCATGCGCAAGGTCCAATTTTGGCACACTCTCTCCAACATATCGGCCGGTATATCACGAATAAATGCTTCAATATTGGCTTCCAGTGCGTCAATCGTTGCTGGTTTAACCCTGTAGATATTAGCCTTAACATGGCCCCACAAGAAATAGTCCAACGGCGTTAAATCACACTATCTAGGCGGCCAATTGACGAGCCCCAAGCGTGAGATAAACTGTTCACCGAACTCGCCTCTCAATAGGGCCATTGTTTCGTGTTCGGTGGGGCATGTGGCACCGTCTTGTTGAAACCACATGTCAGCCAAGTCCAGCTCTTCCATTTTGGGCAAAAAAAAGTTTGTTATCATCGCACGGTAGCGCTCGCCATTCACAGTTACGTTCCGGCCATTGTCGTCTTTGAAGAAGTACGGCCCGATGATGCCACCGGCCCATAACCCACATCAAACAGTTATTTTTTCGAGATGCATTGGTAGCTCTTGCAATGCTTCTGGCTGGTCTTCACTCCAGATGCGGCAATTTTGCTTGTTAACGTATCCATTCAACCAGAAATGAGCTTCGTCGCTGAACACAATTTTTCGATAAAAATGTGGATCTTCCTCCAACTTTGCCAGCGCCCATTCACCAAATGGGAAACGTTGTGGGAGGTCGTGTGGCTTCAATTCTTGCACCAGCTGTATCTTATAAGGTTTTACACCCAAATCCTGTCGCAAAATTTTCTACGTAGTGGAGTAACAGAGGCCCAATTGCTGCAGACGGCGGCGAATCGACATTTCACGGTCATCACTAACACTGGCGGATACAGCCGCAATATTTTCTTCAGTCCTCACTCTACGTCTGCGTGTTAGTGGTTTAATGTCCAATAATGTAAACTGGGTTCGAAATTTAGTCACAAGCTTCCTTATAGCTCCCTCAGTAGGCCGACCAAATTGCCCATAAATTGGAAACAGTGCTCGATGCACTCTCTTAACCGAGCATGAATTTTGATAGTAAAATTCAATAATTTGCAAGCGTTGTTCGTTCGTAAGTCGATTCATGGTTAAATTATTATAGACCAAACTGAACAAGTTTGACAATGACACAAGACACGATTCACGCGTCATCTGCCAAAAAGATAATACCAAAAAAATCACCCATTATATATATATTTGAAGTTGAGTCATTAATTTTCAGATAATGATTGTAGAAGGAAGATAAACCAAAATATGTGTGTAAAAATAAAAAAAAAATTAAAAAAAATGTTTACCTTGTTTTATAAAGTATCCTCCCGACAAGTATTTCAGTGCGGACCTGTATTTGATCGTGAGGTCTTGGAGCACCGGCATGCCGTCCATATGTGAGGTCTTAAGTCAAATGATTCACGAACCCGTTGTACTACATTAACAAAGGCACGAGGGGTTGGTTGCACTCGATTGGGAAACCGATCCGCATAAACATGTGCCATTTTTTATTTCGTTTGAGCCACGCAACAGACACTACTATTCACTACCGACTGACACTGACTGTATACAACTGAGTGAAATAATTGTAAAAACATCGTTCCAAATTCTTTCGCTTTTTTGTTTCCGATGCGATGAACCGATAAGGCGGATTATATCCGTTGTCGCCAAACACGAGCACATAATATTATTATTGAGACAGGGCGGTACTCAAACTTCCAAAGGGCTATAACTTTGTTACTTTAATTTTACCAGAAAAATGGTAAAAGAAAAAAACATTTCTTTTGATCAGATCTACTCACTGTTAAAATAAATGACTCAACTTCGAAGTATATATATAACAACAAGTAGGAAAATAATGGGCAAAATCCGCAAAAAGGAGGAAAGTGGATTCGAGCAGAAAATAGGATAGGTAACCCGAGCGATACGTATTTCTGCTGGTTGGCTTCATCAGGCCCGAAATGAATGCACATGTGAAACTACAAAAGTAGATACACATGCCCACACATCCGGATACGGGTGTAACCTGAGGAAACGAAGTTGGGGAGAAAAAAACGACACACGAAGTCCACAACAAGAGCCAACCTACTCATTGTAGTATAAAATGGCTATACGACCTCGAATTTTCAAGGAGACGTCTAACCACCACCACGCGACCGGTTATAGCCACTTGCTGTGGTACTTCAAGCCCAAAGGATCTACAAAGAGAATATGATCATGCGGAGAAATGTATATAATATATATGTATACATTAGCTACATCTTTGATAGATAGCAAATTCCACCTGGTTGGTGATAACGTATGAACATGACACAGTACTAATTTTCAGTAATAATGGAGATTGTGTAGCAACAGGGCGCTCTGGATTGTGATGTCTTAAAGCTCTTGTATTCTGTTTCAATAGATGACGCATCATTGTTCCAAAGCTGACATTTAGAGGACAGATCTCGTTGATGATTATAGATAGATTAACTGCAAGTGGCAATACTCTCTCCTCCAAGCCCAACATTTAAATAAAGAACTCAGGAGTACTCGAACAGAGGTTTTCATTGATAGCTTGCTCTTCGGACTAAGTCTGACCAAACAGGTCAATTCTGAATAGAAGTCAGATAAATATGGGCAGCAACTGAAGGCCAAAAGGTCGGACAACGTACTGACAACATAAGACACTAACGATTATTGCAAATGAGGTACTTAGATCAGCAGGGCGACTGGCGCGTATTCATCATCAATGGGGAACTTTAGGAGTGGCGCTAAGTTCCTGAGTTGTATTCGAGCGTCCAATTGCCATTGGGATCGGTTCAGCACTTTGCCCCTGCTGAATTTCATTAACCCATCTATGAACTATCGATCTTCAAAACAACAGTCTGTCAATTGCTTAGCTGCGGTGCTATCAATAAAAAAGTTGAGCTTACTAAAAATCATCTATTCAAAGTTTGTTTGCCACCAAGTCTGATGAGTCAACACGTTTGATTCTTAACATCAAGACACTCAATCTGTTTATAGGGATAGAGCACTTAAGTTTTAAAGCTATTGAACTGTGATCAGACTTGTCCGTAGAGATAAGTTCATAGCGAATCTGGGTTTGGAATGTGCACAGATTTTGGCACCCATCTAGGAGAGTCATAGAATATATTTCAGATTCATATTCAAGGGACAGCTGTTCCAATACAATGCTGTGCCGTTTAGGGTAAATTGTGCCCCTCATGTGTTCATAAAGTTAATAAAACCATTTCTTTAATACCTTAAGGGAAAGGATACATTTCCTTCTGTTCTGTTATACTGATAGAGATTGCCTGGATTATATCCGGGCAACAGTTAACACTCCTTTTTTTAAACAATTACAAAAAAGCTGCTTGACCTACAGTATTCAATTGTGACAGAAAGGAAGTATCTTTACTTGAGTGGAAGAGGCAGACATTACTACACTTAGTAAGGACAATAAGGGACAGCAACCAAGACAGTCCGAGACTGAGCAGGAGAAAAGTCTCATCACTGGCAGTTTCCTTCGGTCGGGAATGTTTTACTCACGACTTGAGGGACTGTCGAATATTATACCCAATTGATAATGCGACAACAATATCCTGCATCAATAGAAAGGGAGAGCTTCCAGTTTTTACATCTGGACCAGGTTGACGGAGAGCTATGGCAGTTGTGTAAAGAAAGAAATTTTACTGCCCTCGCATCAAATATAGAATCTAGAAGTAATCCTGATACAGATGAGCTTTTGCGTCAGTGGGACGTGGAAACCGAGCAGGAGCTCCATCTGTAACTGTCCTGATATAGGTTCATGTATTCGGTGTGCCTGAAATTTCGCTTCTAGAGGTAACGTATCCTGGTGGAGGGACCCAGGACCTCGCTCCCAAGAATTCTGAAGCTTACTCTGGTTGTCGGTCCATATTATTGTGGGCTTAGATTACGGTAGGGTTTTACCCAAAATGCTTCTGACGATCGAGGTATAAGATGATTTTTTAAGGGCGTTTACAAGTCCCAACCGAAATATAGCCCCACTTGAGATACTGTGGCTGCTCTGAACCAACTACAGCGGTTACTGGTAACCTACGTGAATATTCGTATGAGGAAATCAGCAACACTGCTAGCCCTAATCTCAGGTCAGAGAGTGCAAATTATGACCTAATTGAAACGGACTACATCCGGATCGGGTTGAATAATACTGAAATTTCTCAGCTTTTAAAGCCTCCAGGTTGCTCATGTGGCAACTACTTTTAGTTTTAGCGTATTTTATGCCCAAATACATGTGCAGCCAAAGTATTTATTTGTCACTGTAAAGAACCTTGATCATTGTGTCTTTGTTCCCACTATATGTAGATGGATGAAGTCTGTTTCAGCAGATTGTGGCTTAGGTACATGAAACGCGTCTACCTCTGCGCCGGCTAGATTATAGTACGCTCAGACTGGAGTTGGAGCGCGTTTTCTGAGACACCTCAGAAATTTCTTGTGCCAAACAATAACTTTGCTCAGGCAGAATTTGAGGTAAACCAAGTTTCCACACTTTAAACACAACTATGATATTACGTTATTTGCTTGTAACAGATGGTATTTTTATCTTTGAACCTAGGTACGTCATATTACCTGTTGTGAAAAGCGCTAACTTTAGTTGTTACAATGGAAATGAAGATTTAGTGGACACACGCATTGTGTACAACCTTAGTTTTGTTCAACCTATCGTTTATTATTGCAGAGCGTTAGTAGTATGTTGTTGCAACTAGCTATGAACATCTACGATATGTATTCTAAATATTTACTTCGACGAGGACGGAACATAATTACATGATCAAACCAACTTACCTGCAAGTGATGTTCGAAATAAAGGTATTATGTGAAGGCCTCGTCGAAGTAAATAGCTCTCTCTCTCCCTATGTATAACTCAATTGTTGCAACAACTTGGCTTTGAAGAAAATAAGAGTTTGTAGGCCAGGGGCCGGAGAGAAGGAAGGTGGGATGGCGCGGTGAGCCAGGGAAACGGAGGACTACACTTGTTCTATTTATTTCGACGATGCCTTCACATAATTAAGATCGAACATCACTTACAGGTAAGTTCGTTTGATGATGTAATCTTTATTGGCACTTTTTAGGTACTGCATGATGCTGTTTCTAAATTTTGTGCCCGAAGTTTCGTTTTTGAGAAACCAACCGTATTTTTTTTTATATAATTCTAAAAAATAAACTTGATGATGGCATCTCGAAAACTAAACATCGGACACAAAATTTAAAAACACACCATGTAGTGCCTAAAAAGTGCCAATGGAACGGTTACATTAGTTTTTTGATATTTCTTAAAATAAAATCAGAAACAATAAAAATGATTTGTCCGAATTTTAGTTAGGCCCAAATGTCTTCGTAAGTCATGAACAAGGCACGAAACTTTCTGATTCTGCATCTGTGGCGGTTGGTGATGCACGTATAACCCGCTGCTCCGCGACGAAAAGAACCCTGAGGGTGTCTAATATTTGTGTTCAGCGTTTGCTCGTATGAGAAGCTGTTCCTTTGTCGTTTCTTATGTTTAGGCACCTCGACACTGCTGAAAACGACAGAATCGGTGCGCGAACTAGAGTAACTCGGTATTTACCGCGTGGCACGAGAACAAAGAATGAGAGTTTGTAGGCTAGGGGCCGGAGAGGTCGAAGGCTTTTCTTCGCTGCGTGTGCACTTTGAACTCGTGGTCAGGAAACTGGGATTAACAAGGCCGGAACATAATGTTCCATTAGTTTCTCTATATTATTGAGAATAAAGTCAGATAAAAATGAAAACGATTTGACCAAATTTTATTTTTTCTCAAATACCTCAGTAAGCCATGAATTTTTACAAGTTTCTCAACGGCATGTAGATACGCCTCAAAACACGCAGCTTTTTTCCTAATTTAATCTCTCAGGTATTGAGATCCCCATGCATGGGATTCTTATCTCTAATTACCAATAACACTATATACCTGAATATAAAGAATCGAGTTAATACACGATTCCAATTTTTCATTATTATACATAAATTTGAAGATACATTGCACCTACAAGTGAATCACCGGAAGTATAACTAGAACAATTAAAGAATCTCTTGAAGATATTTCAACCCATTTAACAGAATTGGTTTAAGTGACTAGAAAGTATTGTTTGAATAAAACTTACATTTTATTATTCGAGAACCATTCCTCATTATATTGTAAGATTCTGTTTGTATAGAATGATCGTTGATATCAAGGTTTCCTAAAACTGCCTGGATAATGCTGAAATGTGGAACATCAAGTTTTACATAGTATTTTTGATAATAAAAAAAAATATTTTATATCATTACCAATTTAGTTTCATTTCTCCAGTTTTTATCCTCCCATTTAACGGAAAACGAATCGTATTTTTGCTGCTGCACTTATTCAACAAATTCAACGTTTTTTTATCACTTGTACGTAATCTCACATCAGAAAATTCACGACACTTCGATATCAAAGCTAGTATTTGCAACAATGTTTCCGTTCCACTTAACTAAAATGAAAAAAAAAACACAAAAATCATCTGAAACCAAAGTGTACCTTGGGAAATGGCGTGATAAAGGATTCATTTCGTAAAATAGCTCTAAGGTAACTCTAACGTATTCTACCTGCAGATAGCCAACCATAAAATGTATTCCAGCGCCCCGAAAGGGTTCTGAAATATCCTAGCGTCATTTATGAGACAGCAGAATACAAAAAATGGCATCAAGTGGGTTGACTCTGCACCTCCTACGCATCGCCGTCATCAGTTCATAAAGGATTAAGTTCAGCGCAATTTAAATAATCTGAGAAAAAATTGAGTTTCGGACATGTGCAACGGAGAAATTAAACGTAGTAAGACATTCAAACAGGCTAAATTTTAGCCTAAAACAATTAGTTCCCTAGACATAATTTCTATGCCCTAGTGGTTGATACCGACCATGTGGCAACGTTGTCCCTTTCCACATCTGCGCGGCATCTGTGCAGCGAGTTATTTTTCGGATCGTGAAGAGTCCATATGTTCTTTGCGCTTTAGTACGGATACATGCACAGGGTGTTCATTTGTAAACTTCCCACCACGGATTTATCGAAAACCACTGACTAAAAGAAAAAACGCCCAGACACGTCAAGAGATTTGTCTAGGGGACAACTTTTTTAACCAAAAACTACTTTACCTCTTTTCACCCTCAGCTCCCCAGGGTTATTCTCTTAAAAATTTCAAATGACAAGAGGTATCGAGTAATAGCTTGTTTGAAAGGTCTTTCGAGGTCATTTATTTTAACGTTTGATTTTTTAAAATCAGTCGATTCGTTTTCGAGAAAATTAGGAAAATCTTCTTTATTTATCTTAATTTGTTCAGATAGAAAACAAATACACATGAAAATATCACTTTATATTTCAATAAGTGTTCAAAATGTTGCCCGTTAGGGCTTGCCAAATCTACAATCTACAAACGCGATCTGGGTCATCCCTCTGCAATTTTGCCAGGTGACAAAGGGGAGCCTCTCAGGCCGACTGGTACTCCGTATCGGAGGACCTAGCGCAACGGAGGACCCATCGACTCTTAGAAGCCAACGAGTGGAAGACCTAATTCTCGGAATCTGTATACAGGGTGCTCATGTGAAAACTACCCACCACGGAAAACCATTGATTAAAAGAAAAAACGCCGAGACACGTCAAAAGATGTATCAATGGGGACAACTTTTCAACCAAAAACTACTCCACCCTCGGCCCCCCAGGGCCATTGCCTTAAAACTTTAAGTGACAAGGGGTATCAAGTAATAGCCTGTTTGAAAGGTCTTTCGAAGTCCTTTATTTTGTCGTTTGATTTTTTAACATCAGATGATTCGTTCTTTATTTATCTTAATTTGTTCAGATAGAAAACAAATACACATGAAAATATCACTTTATATTTCAATAAGTGTTCAAAATGTTGCCCGTTAAGGCTTGCCAAATCTACAATTCGTTTATAATTTAAAACGGAAGCTACCAACACAAACAGCAATGCGGAAGATTAGACGTTGCAACAACCAAATAACAACCCGCATTTTTTTCGTATTCTTTTCATCAACACATCCTGGGTGAACTGTATTTATTGTTATACCTGTTTAGTTATTTGTTGCTAAGGGGAAGAAAAAATTACCTTTATGAAAATCTTGGGATAGTGAAATTTAATTTATTGATTCAGATTTTACTTCCAAAATGGTTTACACACTAGCCGAAAGAGTGGAAATAATTCTAATTTATGGTGTGCAAAATCAATGTGCTCGGCAAACTGGCGTCACGTGTAACGCCAGACATCCGGGGAAGATAAGTTCGCATAGGTATGTTTTGGACCTTGTTTTGGTTGAAGCAGCTCAAGTTGAGGTTTTGGTTCATTTTGAAATAAATCCTAATACTTCATTACGCAAAATTGTTGCTGCGACTGCTATTTCATTAGGCTCTGTACACACAGTTACTAAACTCCATAAATTTCAGCCATTCAAAATGAAAATATTGCAAGAGGTAAACGAAGACGATTTCGGTAGGCGATTTGATTTTGTGAACAACTGACTGCAGCGATTAATTATAATACGAGGCATGTTTTTAAAGTAAGTACCGTTTTCAAATTACGCCGCCGCAACGCTGCGGTCGCCGTTTAGCGCATGCGCGTCGTGTAGCTGCATCTGTTGGGAAGCCACAGACGCCATTACGGAAGCATCCGAACGAGTTTACATCTGTTTGTGTGATTTTAAAATGCCACCACCGATTGAGAATCCCGCCGACTGCGAAGTACGTGCTGTAATACGGTTTCTCTGTGCTCAAGGCTTCAAATCAGTTGACATTCATCACCAAATCAGTGCAGTGTATGGTGGAAACATTATGAGTGATGGAATGGTGCGGAAATGGGTTCGGGCCTTTAAAGATGGCCGCACAAATATTCATGATGAGGAACGACGTGGGAGACCTTCAGTCATTACCGATAACCTGATTCAAAAGGTAGACTGTAAAGTGAAAGAGAACAGACGATTCACGATTTCGTCCTTAGCTGAAAAGTTTCCTGCTGTCTCAAGAAGTGTTCTTTACAAAATTGTGTCGGAACGTTTAAATTATCGGAAATTGTGTTCACGCTGGGTGCCAAAAATGTTGACTGATGAGCACAAAACCAAAAGATTGGGCAGTGCATTGAGTTTTCTCGAACGATACAGTAACGAGGAAGATGATTTTCTAAGCCATATTGTCACAGGCGATGAAACATGGGTAGCCTACGTTACACCGGAATCGAAGCAGCAATCAATGGAATGGCGGCATTCATCATCCCCTAGGACAGTGAAATTCAAACAAACAATTTCTGCTCAGAAAATCATGTGCACTGTGTTTTGCTGGTCAATTTTTTGACTCGCGGCGACACGATCAATGCAGTAGCGTACTGTGAGACTTTACAAAAACTGCGCCGCGCAATTCAAAACAAAAGGCGTGGCATGCTGAGTGCAGGTGTCGTTTTGCTCCACGATAATGCCCGTCCACACGCAGCAAATCGAACACAAGACCTTATCACTTCTTTTGGCTGGGAGCAATGGGACCACCCTCCCTACAGTCCCGATCTAGCACCGAGCGACTACCATTTGTTTATGCACTTGAAAAAGCATTTGGCGGGGCAGCGCCATTCCGATGATGACGAAGTGAAAACGGCTGTGAAGCAGCGGTTGTCTACTCAGGCGGCAAGCTTCTTTGACGATGGCATACAAAAGCTGGTCCCAAGATACGATAAATGCCTCAATAGTAATGGGAATTACGTAGAAAAGTAGAGTAAAGTATGGCCTTTCAAGTGAATAATATATTTTTGGACAAAATTTACTTGTTGTTTTTTTTATGTCAAAACGGTACTTACTTTAAAAACATGCCTCGTACCATTCATCTAAAGAATATTTGCTTCAGTGATGAATGTACATTTTGTCTAAATGAATTTGTTAATAAGTATAACTGCAGAAATTGGAGCAATGAAAATCCTCATGCTTTCGTAGAAGGGCATACCCAGTACCCCCAAAATATTATTGCATGGCCAGGCGTTTTAGGAAACAAAGTGATTGGGCCATTGTTTATTAATGGAAATTTGATTGGAGCAACATTCAATTTTTATCACAATAACACGTTTGGCAATCGGAGATTTTCCTTCACTCTGGTTGAGCCTACTACTATCAAAACTGTTGTGAGTGGCCTTAAGTCAAATGCAAAATGTATTGACGGTATATCTCTTTTTATGATTAAGCTATCTCTCCCTATTATACTACCTTACTTGACCCATATTATCAATCTGTGTCTTGAGAAGGGCTAATTTCCTAAATCTTGGAGACGAGCAATAGTAAAACCAATACCTAAGGTCAAGAAGCCCACCGATTTCTCGGATCTCAGGCCCATCAGTCTTTTGAGTGTTTTGTCAAAGATCTTGGAGAAAATCATTTATTTGCAAATCATAGATTTTTTAGAGTCAAGTGACATACTCCTGAGAACCTCCAGACTGCTTCTATGGAAATAAACGAGGACATTGACTCTATTTGCACCTACTCAGCCAATAACAGCCTAACCGTTAATGCTTCCAAACCTTCTGCTGTGCTGTTTTGTCCAAATCACAGAAGCGCCGAAGTCAAAGCTTTCTTGAGTATATCTATTAACAATCAAAATCTTCCTTTTTCTGAAAGTGTCAAGTGTCTAGGTGTGTTTATTGATGAAAACGTGCGGCTTCGTGAACATTTAAATAACCTCTTACAAAGAAGTTACATCCGTCTGAGAACTCTGTATGCGAACAAAAATTTGCTGAATTTTAAAGTGCGAAAAAAGTTGTGTGAATCTTTTGTGTTATCTATTTTTAATTATTGCAATCTAGTTTATCATCCTCGTTTGGATGTTGCAAGTCGTAACAGAATATCTGTAGTACAAAATAACTGCGTACGATTCATATTTAGTTTAAGAAAATTTGATCATGTTTCGGATCGTTATCCTTTAATAGGTTTGTTAAATACAACTATCTAACCTTTATACATAAGTTACTTGTCTCTGGAATTCCAACTTATCTACGTGAAAAACTAATTTTTAGGTATAATGTTCATCAACGACATATCCGTAACACATTAGATTTAACAATGCCACTTCATAGTACATCTGTTTTTAACAGGTCCTTCTCATATAATGCATGCATACTGTACAATAGCTTAGGTTACAGAACAAAAAGCCTGCCGCTGTATAGTTTTAAAAAGTACTTAAGAGCTCTTCTGCTCAATGGTGATTCTTAAAGGTGGTTTTCTCCAGCATTATATTTTTAAGCTAATTTTTACTTAGTTTGTAATCAGTTACATGGGCATTTTCCTCCATTTATTTTCATTATTATTTTCTTTACAGCTGTACTTCTTTACCATCTATATTCTTATGCAGTTAATGGTTAAGTGTAAGAATAGCTGCCATAGCTAAACTTCGCCATTAGCTGCTCACTAATCTAATTATAGATAATAATATATGAATTACCTGTAATTTGTTTTTTTTTCTAATAAAAGACGGTTTATTATTATTATTATATGTTGTAAAATACCATCAAACCGCTCATTACTGAAATCATTGAAAACCAAATGGAAGAGGATGGAAACCCTATATTTGATGAGGCTGAAATATATTTCCAGCAAGACGACGCTCCTCCTCACTAGGTTCTACCGTTTCGGCAATGGCTAGATGACGAGTTTACAGAGAAATGGATATTGCGAAGAGAGCCTATAGACTGACCTGCTAGATCTCCTTATTTAACGTCACTAGACTTTTTTCTATGAGGCCATTTGAAATCCATTGTAGTTACTACCCAATCTGAAAGTTTGGATGAACTGCGTCAACGCATCATCGAAAGCTGCCATGATATCCCAAAACATGTTTTTTAAAATGACCGTCAGGAATTTTAACATCGCCTATATCATTGTTTGGCCAATAACGGCCAACATTTTGAGCACTTATTGGAATAAATATGATATGTTCGTGTGTTTCTGTTTTCTATCTGAACAAATTGAGGTAAATAAAGATTTTTCTAATTTTCTTGCAAACGAATCGACCGATCTTAAAAAATCAAACGTTAAAATAAAGGACTACAAAAGGTCTTTCGGACAAGCTATTACTCGATACCCCTTGTCATTTAAAATTGTTTGGTTAATAAGTTGTCTCCCTTGACAAATCTTTTGACGTGACTCGGCGTTTTTTTTTTCAATCATGTTTTCGATAAATCCGTGGTGGGAAGCTTTCAAATAAACACCCTGTATAAGGCGGTGCGCTTACATAGGCAGGAGTACGTACGCGGATGGAATGCATGTCTCATTCTAAGTTTTAAAGGCAAACATACAAGTAAATCTATGATGTGTGAAATATGACTAATAGGTGCATAGAATTACCATGGTTGGGAGCGTCTGAAGATACTAAGATCAAAACATTTCATATACCACGATTACAATACTTTCTCGCTAGTTTTGCATTGGACGTAAAATGATTTTAGAAATTTGGTTTGAAAAGAGATAATTTTTGATTCTACTACTGTCTCATAGATTTTGTGTGTTTTGTTACTGTTTGTATGTTGGCTATCTTCAAGTAGAATGCGTTAATAAATGAAGTGGATTTAAAAATGCGTGTGAATAAGAATTATCTTTTTCTTTACATACAAGAGTTGTGCATATATTTACCTGCGTGAACAATTTCATGGTCTCAAAAGCAATATAGTACCTTGCCATCAATTCTCCTGTAATCGTAGGAGTGATTATGATATTCTGATCCATACAAAGCATTCCACTGGATACCAACTTGTTCAAGTCTATTTGAAATATTTCTAGAAAAAAATATACCACACTCCATTACAGTTATTTATGTATCTTGGGCGATTACCTGGCGTTGACGGTCCGTGGCGTGAACATATACGCGAAGAGCCGCAGAGTCTAATACGCCAAGTCATATAAAATCTTACTACGCCCGAAATATATGCAAAAGCCTTTCGGTAGAACTAAAAATGAAAATACATCGACCGTACTATACGCATCAGCAGTAGTTGCGCCGTTACCTAGCAACGAATAAATAAGGTCAGCTTCCGTGGCCACTAATATGTGTTAAGCGTGGATTAATTCACACTTACGTTGGAAAAGGGAAGATAATTACTAGAAGTTTAGCAGGATTAATGATGAAAAGAATCATGGTCAGACCTTTAATAACTTTTAATACCCGTTTCACATTGACAATAAATCTACGAATTGGCCTAAATTCGAAAGTGTAGAACACGAATTTGAAATCAAATAATAAACAATGAAGTTCTTCGTGGATTTCTTCGCGCAATTAGGACTTGTTCTATTCTTTACCAAGCTGGACGTCGAATTCCATGGTACTAAGTCTATTTTCTTTTCCATTATATTGAACAGCTTTTTAATTCAAGTATAGAACTTTGATAAGACTACAATATGTATTAAACAGTATGGTGTGTATTTATGATGACATGTAGTAGATATTCGCCCTACTGAGCGAGGGCCGTGGCAAATGCTTGTTCCAGAAGTTGTTGTATCCAGTATACAACTTCTTCCCGTCCAAGTGATTGTGCACGCGTTAAGGAATACCTAAGTACCGATTGCCGGGTGACGGTACAAGTCCGCCAACGGGCCACTTTAGGTCTATTTAACATCACTAACACGTAAAAAGAAGGTGGTAGACAAGGACCAGTCGACCGAGGCAGTACCACCCGCTAGCTTTTCCCAGGGTGTCTTATAAATGTCCGCATGTTTCCACACCTAAGCTATGCAGTCGGTTATCTACCAAAACAAAGAAATTAATGATGATGGATCCCTCGAGCACTAAAAACTCCGGACGTAAACTCACTCCACTCTCGGAATGTCCGGGTGGAGGGTGGGCTCGAGGGAACAAGAAGATAAAATTTGTTTTTCGAACATCTGCGGGATCAACAGCAACATTGATGCTGTTCATCACTACCTGCAATCCAATCGTCCCGCCGTGCTTTTCTTGGCGGAGACAAAAATCTCAGAGACTGCACCGATTAACCATCTCAACTTCCCAAACTACGAGGTGCACTCCAATCTGAGAAAGAACGGGGGAGTTGTGGCTTTTGTCCGCAGCAGTCTTTCCTGCTCCAGGGATCTTTCTTTGGAATCAGACCGGAAGGACATTCTGTGGCTTCGCCTCAACTCCAAAACATCACCCAAATTTATTTGCTGCCTTTATCGCTCTCCATCGAACCATAACTGGGATGACCTACTCGAATACCTCGCCGTCCAGATCGACTTCCTGAACATCAATCACCCCGCTTCAGAGGTAGTTCTTCTCGGTGATTTCAATGCCCATAATGAGCTTTGGTTGGGCTCAAATAAGACCGATGCCGCAGGTCGGGCAGTCGAAGCGTTCGCTCTTACTCAAGGGATGACTCAGCTGGTGACGAGCCCTACTTTTTTCCCCCGCGTCTCGTCACACGCCAGTAGCCTGCTGGATCTCTTTCTGACCACGCATCCTGCCCCTTACAGCACTGCTGTCCTGTCCCCCCTGGGTAACCCAGATCACGGTGTTGTGGAGGTTAGGTTTCGGTCAGAAGCCGCTGTGGCAGCAGAAACTCGCACAGGCCGCAAAACTTGGCATTACGGACATGCCGACTGGGAGGGGCTCAGAGACTTCTTCTCTAGCTTTCCTTGGAGAGATGTCTGTTTCACTGACGCGGATGCGTCGACTGTCTGTTCTTCAATAACCGAAATTATCCACGTCGGAATGGAGGAATACATCCCTCACACAGTGAAAGTTCCTAAACCAGGGCCCAACGGCTGGTTCAACAAATCGTGTGACACTGCTCGCCAGCAGAAGATCAAGGCCCACAGAACCTACTTACAAAACCCCACTGTAGAGAACAGACAAGCCGACGTCGCCTCCAGAAACAAATATAACGAAGCGGTACGCAATGCCAAAAACCAGCATGATATAAAAGTTAGGCACAGGGTAATGTCGCAGCGCAATGGCAGTCGGTCTTTCTGGACGCTGGCCAAGCAGATTGAAAAGAACTTCTCACACAGTAGCCTTCCACCACTTACGTGTCAGGATGGAACTATTGTATTCGACTCAAAGGCCAAGGCGGAAGTGCTAGCCAAGATCTTTGCTGCCAACTCCACCATGGACGTCCCCACCAACGCCCAAGTGCCGTCAATTCAAAGGGTTCCCCACACTATGCGGGAGGTAACATTCAGGCATAAGACCGTAAGACGAGTGCTCTTGTCGCTCGACATCAACAAAGCTTCTGGTCCGGACTTGATTCCTGCCATTGTACTGAAGAGATGTGCAGCGGAGCTTGCTCCAGTTCTTTCGCGTCTCTTCCAGATATCTTATGAATCCGGCACCTTCCCTGAAAACTGGAAATTTGCTCATGTACAGCCCATCCCAAAAAAAGGATCTAAAACCGACCCTTACAACTACAGGCCTATAGCTCTGCTTTCTGTTATAAGTAAAGTGATGGAGAGGTGCATAAATCGCGAGCTTCTAGACTACCTCGAACGTCACAGCTTGATTAGCGACAGGCAGTACGGTTTCCGGCACCAACGATCCACATGGGACCTCCTAGCTTACGTCACGCAGCTGTGGAGTAGACTCATCCAGTCTCATGGTGAGGCTCATGTCGTTGCTCTTGACATCACGAAAGCGTTCGATCAGCTGTGGCACGCTGCCCTCTTAAGCAAACTTCCATCCTACGGCCTCCCAGAAAAGCTTTGCAGATGGGTGGCTGACTTTATCTCTGGCCGCAAGATATCCGTCGTAATTGACGGATTCTCCTCTTCATCCCACAACGTCAACGCGGGTGTTCCCCAGGGATCGGTCTTGGCTCCAACACTGTTTCTCTTACATATCAACGACCTCCTTTCCTGCACGATCAACCCAATCCACAGCTTCGCTGATGACAGCACTCTACGTGCAGGAATTCAGAGTGACAAGCCGATGACTGCCGCTGAGCTGGAAAAAAGAAGACTAGCGACGACTTCTTCTCTGACAAGAGACCTGGAAGCTATCACTGCTTGGGGACGCAACAATCTTGTACAGTTCAATGCTTCCAAGACACAGTACTGTACTTTGACGAACAAAAAGCGTCCTAGCGCTCATACAGTTTCGATGGACGGTCGAGTTCTACCAAAGAGCCATTCATTTCGGCTGGTCGGAGTCCAGATCACCGAGGAACTGATCTGGCACGAACACATCTCTTCAATAGCTGCAGCTGCTGGGAAAAAGCTAGGCTATTTGTTTAGGGCTAAGAAGTACTTTTCTCCGCATGACCTTCTCACTCTATACAAGGCCCAGATAAGGCCTAGCCTCGAGTATTGCTCACACATTTGGGGTGCTGCCGCCCCGACTACATTGTCCATGCTCGATGCTGTCCAGAGGAGGGCGGTCCGACTGATCGATGACTCTTCTCTAACAGACAGTCTCGGGACTCTTTCGCACCGGCGGGCCGTCGGCGATCTAGCTCTTTTCTATCGCTACACCAACGGGCTTTGCTCCTCAGAGCTCTCTTCCATGATGCCGCCGCGCGATGTGCCTGCCAGACAGACCCGCCTGACTTCGGCGTCCCATCCTAACCGTGTCAAACTTCGTACATCCAGAACTGGCCGATACAACCGCTCCTTTGTTCCGAGGGTGTCTAGATTGTGGAACAATCTACGGGAGGAAGCTTTTCCCAGTTCTACTAACCTTAGGCAGTTCAAAAATCGTATTAACAAAATTTCTTTGGGATCATCATAGCAGCCGCGGTGTTCCGGCATTTAGGCTTTGGCCTGCGCGGCTGTTTCGATATAAAAAAAAATATAAAAACTCAAAATGTTTCTAACGAGAATTTGTTATGTGGTTGGCAGCACTGTGTACTGACAGATAATCCATGAATGTGTTTATTGGTGCAAACATCATGAAGTGTTGATGGGAAACGTGTATAACAGGGATTACAATATTAACCTTGAGTTTGACCTTGACCCTCACATTCATTTTAGTACACGAGAACGTACTAGAACGTAAAATGTTCCATATCACAAACGAGGACCAAGTTAGTAAGAAAGTTGACCTTGAAATGACTTTGGATTCCAAGGTCTCCATTGAAATCCTTAAAAGTTACTAGGCTTGCCCTTAATGATTTTTTCATCATTATTCCTGCTAAATTGTGCATAGACTCACACATTTGACCTTTAAATGTGACCTTGATATTAGATTTTAATCCATACCCGGACGTAGAAGTCTCCGTTCCTTCGACTGCCGGTCAAGAAGGTGGATTTCCGTTTGAAAATCAAAAGTTGACCTTGCAATTACCTCGATGGTGATACCTAAGGTGAAATCCAAGGTCACCAAACAACTTCAATTTCAAGGTCACCATTGATTTCTTGTTCAAGGTTAGCAAAGACCTGACGTAGGCCTTTTTCAAAAATAACTGAAATGGAAAAATTTATAGCGGTTCTGTCACTTTTGGCTTTGATCCCAGATTCAATATGCGGCTAAATGCAAACTCGTATGATGATACGTAAATGTTATGCTTTGAAACAATGAATAAAAAACGTAGAGATTAGACCCCACAACTACTGTATAAAGATTGTCACCTAAGCTGTCAAACAAAAAGTTAGAGGGAGTCCACTTGGAGTGGAACACCATGTACCTACTTTTGTAATATTTACAAAAATGGATTGAATTATGTACCTAAAAGTTTCTTATCAATTTGCTGTGTATTCAAACCACTAGGCAATCCATAATGCCGTGGATTTTTGACAGCTCTAATATAAAGATAAGTAGATGCAATCCACTGCATTGCCACGTCCAAATCTGTAATTGTTCTCAGCACCACTTCTGCGTTTAGATGTTCGATCAAATGTTTATGAAGGTTGGACTCTATCTCGGTGTTGGAGTTTATCATTTTCTCAAATTTTATCTGCAAGAAATATGGGGCACATATAGGGTGAGTCTTAGAGTGTAAACGGTCGATAGATCCGCTATTTTAAAATCTGAAAAAAGTTAGTTAAGGTAAATGTCGAAAAATTCTTGATATTTTTAGTTTTTCTTTGAGGCTCCCAAATAAAAAAATCTTGATGTATTTTATTAAATTCTATATTCTCCATCATTTGAGTTGTCCCAACAACCAAAATTTAATTTTTTATCCATTTCCATGAATACTGGGCGATCTTCGGCACTGGCAGTCGACCGGTATATGTATGTGATATTCCTGCTAATAACTTCATTATGAACCATTTGAGATAAGAGTGAAGGTATTTATAGCTAAAGAAAAAAAATGCATGAATCTGACTCACGAAATTAGGTTCAGTTAATTTTTATCATGTCCCGAATTTCGGTATATACCAGAGGGAAAGTTCACTTTTTGATTTAAAAAAAATTACAAACCTAATGAAAAGAAAATATTTATTACTATCAACATATTCGTAAATTCGGCGGGTTTTATTTTTTATATATCATTCCGTCCAACTGTTTGCCATCCCTTCGGGATCGCGCGCGCAAATTCTGAAACACTCTCTTGCAGAGTTTTGGAGTATGTTGTTCATTTCTCGTCGAAAGCTCCTCCAGTGTTATTGGACTACACTTTTGACTTTTGACACACACAAAAAATAATCGCATGACGTGAGGTCGGGTGACCTAGGAGGCCAATGAATGTCTCCAAACTTCGATATAACTTTTTGAGGAAAAAGTGCTTTCACCGTGTCCATCGATTCTCTGGAAGTATGGGCAGTGGCCCCATCCTGTTGAAACCATGTGTTTCTATTAAATCGACGTTCTGTTCTTACAATAGAGCCAATAAAAGTGTCAATTATGTCCTTGTATCGCTCGGACAGTCACCTTTGGACTATATAGCTCTTGTTGATGTTTCTCTTTTGGGTTTTGGAGTTGCCCAATATCTGCAATTTTGCTTGTTATGTATCTAAGCGAAAATGGTCTCGTCACTGAAAACAACGTTCTTGAGTCTGCGCTGCGCAGGAAAAAGATTTACGTCCGTTCAGCACAAGATTTCCGTAATACGTAATCACTTTCCTTCAAAGCATGGACTGATTGGAATTTTATAAGGATGAAAACCCATTTTTTTCTTCATTATCGAATCACTTACTCAACGCACATTTTCTTCGGTTGATACAGTAGATGCGGGGCCAGGAATGGGTTGGCTAAGAGTAGAGCCTGTTTAACGGAACCTCGTAATCTACTTATTCAATAGGTTATTATTACTTGGGGTATCTCTTGATCGGCGAATGTTGTATCATGTTCAAAATTTCCGAAGGGCAGCTGCGTATGAATCACCAGTCTTAAAGTAAACTTCGATAGCAAAAGCACGTCCCACTCCGGTCCAACGTTGCATTGTGACTATTTAACCCGCAGACCCGCACCCGTACGTCGAACACGTCGATCAAGACCTCTCCCCACTTTCTCACGTATACGGTTGCCGCGTAAGTCAAATTTGAAATGTGAACCTTCCCGCTTACAACTACATATAGAGTGTAAAGTGAGGTTCAGTTTGCATAGGCTAAGGGCAATTTGAATGTGTATAAAGTCTACCTTTTCATTCTTTCTGGAAATAATGCATCCCATTTTGCTATAGTTATTGAATACATGATACTAAATAAATAAATAATTCACAACAATGAGCATTTCTATATTGGCAAACTAATATCACGAAATAAAAGACATACTTTTTGTTTGTTATGTTGCTAAATTCATAAAGATACTTGACAATTATGTGTAATTTATCATGGTACAATTGAAACGGTGCAATCTTCATCAGTTTTTAAACAAAGATAGATCATTATCAAATCAATATAAAACAATGTAACACGATAACTCACCTTATCCTGTAGAGTAGTCAAGATCAATGCAGTACCAGTAACATCGTACTGGGGTCTTCCAGCTCTGCCAATCATCTGCTGGATCGCAGTTTCACTATAATCTTGGAAACCTCCTTTATCATAGCACTTTGTCGATTTGATAATCACCAGATGGGCGGGAAGATTGACGCCCATCGAAAGCGTACTGGTCGTTACTAAGATCGGGAGATTTCCACTTCGAAAAGCGTCTTCTAGGCAATGACGAGTTTCCGGACTCAAACCTCAAAAAAGATTAAAACTACAGGTCATTGGATGAGTCATTGCTAAAACACAAAAAATCTACCATACCCAAGGTGAGGGTTTTCTCTGTCTAGAAAAGAATAGCCTTGGAGGTATCAAAGAAGATGAGTCAAATCGTTATAAATCATACATATGCACATGGTTCTGGTGAAATATCAAATAATGGCGTCAAATAGATTTACTCTAAACTTCCTGCACCTTTTTGGGAGGTTTCAAAGTAAAAGGGATGCGTCAAATCGTCTCAAAAGGCGAAATCTAACCGTGATTAAGCAGGTTCACTTAGGTACAGCTCGTCAAGTGTAGGAAGAGATATGAGGATTTGCTGGTATTGCTCACACGAGAGAGTGTGTACGCATTCGGAGCAAACAAGATGGCACGTTACATACAATACGTACCATTCGATCTCGAGTGGTACAGTCTGCGTCCTAAATTGATCGAATAATTTCAGTAATGGAATACGTATTATGTGAATCCTGCTTTTTTTAATCGAAATTGTTGGCATGTAAAAAATGTTTAAATATCTTTTTGTGAGCCCAATATTCTAAATTTGGTAACTTCATTAACGTTACAAGACTAAGTTCTATCACTGTCAGCGTTAGATCATCAATTCCACGAGCACCCGATCTCAAGCTGCCTGTAGTATTTCATGTGGATCGATAACTCTTAGAGAAAATTTGTTCAATGGGTTGAGTTTGTGTGCATTATAAAATTGAGTTGTAATATACAATTAACGAATCTATATCATTAGGATATTTTAAAATACAATTGTACGTCTACCAAAAGTTTACAAGTTTTATATACTACTTTTTTAATACTTTCAAAATTGTATAATAGGGTCAAGTGGTGTAAAAATGAGACAGCCGAAATTTCGGTCAAAAACAAGACATTCAACTTTTCCCAATGCAAAAAAACAATAAAATTGTAAAAAATACGTTACAAATTACTTCTACATATATACAATTGAAATATGTAATGAATAATAAATAAACGTAAAGACAAACATCGAGAAAAAACTATCGCATCTGATTGTGCATTTTGCTTAAAAAATATTTTAAATTGTATTTACAAACTTTTCCTGTTGCGCCGCTGTACGTGATCGTAGAGACTCGGCAAGTATCGCGTTTTCAAAATAACAAATGCGGCTATGATATTCCATATCGAATTTAGTCTATTTTTATTTGTTGGCAAGCAGGCACATCGTGAATAACAGTTGCAAAAACGAGACACCACAAAGTTTAAAAACAAGACACTTGCCAGGTAAAAAACAAAACAGCTTTTATACCTTTGATAATAATGCCGAAGGTTTACGTTCCCAAAAAGCGCCCCTACGACAAAAAGATCATGGAAACAGCCCTAAAACTAATAGATAATGGCACTTTATCTTTTAGAAATGCAGCTAAACAGTTTAAAATTGACAAATCTGCTCTTTCGAGAAGACGTACTCGTTCACTTGGTAACCAAAGAAATGGAAGTAGACAAGAGATAAGATAAAAATTATTGCAAAATGGGGGTTTGCTCTCACTAAACCAGAGATACAAGCAATAGTTTAAACCTATGTACAAGAAAACCACCTTACTACCCAGTTTAAGGAAGGAAAGCCCGGGAAAGATTGGTTTAAAAATTTTTGTAAGCGCAATAGACTAAGTCAAAAAAACGCAAAAACGCAAGTTTACTACGTGGCACAAATCAAAGTTTTTGAGAGCGATGTAGAAGTAAAATATCTGAGGCGCAAAGGATTTAAATTTATTTTATCCGGCCATTGAGGAAGAGTACTTCATCGACAAAAGTCACATAGAAATGAAACTTCCCCAGCCAGAAATAAAAAGTAAGACCTGTCGTATCTCTCAGCAATATTGGTTTCCTATCGACTTTGAAAAATACGTCGTTCAATAATATGTAGTACAAAATACGTTAGAATAATAAGTTTTCTACTTTCGCTCTTAAAATCCTATTGAATATCTTGTTACCCCTTTTTTGAATTAGGTATGGTTTATTTAACTTGTTTTTGGATTTGTTTTCTTTTTAGTTTAATAAACATAGTTTTGTATTTAATTATGTGAGTTTTCTTTAAGAACGTTGCCACAATTTAAAACCTAACTATGTTATTTGACTTACTAAACGCTTTAAAACCCTTGCAGTGTGTCTCGTTTTTATTCCCCAGGGTCTCATATTTTGCCACACTGATGTAAAATGACTAAAAGGCCAGAAAATACAGTGTCTTGTTTTTAACGTCTCACTGTCTCATTTTTAGCCTAAACAGTGGTTAAAAACAAGACACGGTTTTTTAAGAAAAACGCCCTTCATTATGAATATTATGAACTTTTTTTAACGTGAGGTATACTACATGGCTTTCTATATACAGGGCAATATAACAAGGCCTTAAAGTCCGGTTTTTTATTGACAAAAAATTAAAAGATTTAAAAATCGTCTCGTTTTTGCACCACTTGACCCTACATTAGTTTTACAGAAATAGTTTTATTTTTCCACACCTGTTGGCTACCGAAGAAAGTTTAAAAATCGGATTTATGTGATTATTTATATGAATGAGATAAACATAGAAATAAGGAACCCAAAACAGTTTATTCCATAAAGTAAGTATTGCACGCTATGTAGCTATAAGACTGAAATTGATTGGTACTCATTCTATTTTTAATTGTTAATAATTTCAATTAATAAACAATCAAATGAAAAGTAAGATCAGGAAACTAACATCGCAGTAGATACAGTTGAAAATATTTTAAAGATTTATGAATTCTTCGGTTTCGCTATCGCTATCTTCGTCTAGGTTTATTATCATTTGATCCACAGCATGCACAACAATAGATATTTGTCCTTTTGAAACTGGCCTGTGATCGCTCCAAGTCTTTTCATGCGTATGTGAAGTACGGATGTATGTTTCGTCCATTTAAATTATAGGACGATTTTGTTTCTATATTCTTTCATCTTTCTCAGAAAATTTCTCCTGAGATGCTGGATCTCTGGTTTCTCCATAAGTAGTCTTCTATTAGTGCTTGCCTTCCTCCAACAAAATCCCATTGTCCTCATTACTTAGCTTAAAGTTTCATGTGATCCAGTGTAATTGTGTACTGGAACAAATTTCCTGTGTATGCGCCGCAAAGTTGGAACCTTCTTTTCCGTTATGTAAAAATTCATGATAGATCGTCGAAGTAATCCTTTATCAAAGTGGTCGAAACCAGATTTTGGAGTGGCTCTTCGTCTTTTTTTGTTTGGTGTCGAAAAAGATGTCGAAGAACCTTCTTCAACAGATTTCATTTCGCTAGCAATGCTCCTAATAGTCGATAGACTAACTCCTGTGGCCATGGCTGCACGCTCCTGAACTTCCTTCAAATCTTTAATAGGTTTATTTCCTTCCGCTTCTCGTTGCATAAAGAATATAGCATTTGCTACAACCTCCCTAGTTTATCCTGATAAAACTTTACACTGTAATTTGGATTTAAAATCCATTACAAACGAGTAAATCTCTTAGCACACCAAGGAATAAATGGAGACAATTAATAGCATAAAATTGTATGTATTCAACCCACTAATTCGTAACAATACATACAATTCACAGATAATAAGTAATGAAGTTGTTTCACTGCCTGGCAATTTTTCTGAATGTACGGTAACTAGCCTAGACACGGCAAGAGACTACTGCTTCGTCCGGCGAATTGAGCCGCTAGCTACTGCGCATCGAGAAGGCGTGACATTATTCAAAAATTCGCATCTCTTCCTTGACGAGATGTACGATGAATATTCGACATCATCAACCTATATAAAGCAAATCTATCATATTTCTGTTTCCATGGCAGATGTAGGGAAAATATGTGTGACTTATTATGTCTAACAGGTGCGTAATACGCGAACGATTGCCAAGTTGCTTTGTATGAGCACATTATACATGGGAGCAGAAGCTTCTTAATGATAGAAGGTCTTTGACTAATACTAAAGTCGTTACATTCACCACCTCCTGCCCCCTAAAGCTCCCAAAACCGCTCAGTTTCAACCGCTACAAAAAAAATCCCAAAAATGATCAGGAGCTTCTGAAACACTGAAAAACGAAGCTTAACCGATTTTTGTTTTTTTTCGGGTCTTTTTCCCTATTTCCGACACCACTAGATAGACAGACAGACCGACAGAATTGAGTGACATGGTTTTTCGTGATCTACACGTCATATAACATCCAAAAAGATAATATTTCAATTTCAAATATTTTTCGCGATTTCCTCACCAGTGTTGGCATAGGAAATGAAAAGAACAGCATTCATGATGATAATCCACCATGCTTGTCTGTCTAATAGTACCACATGTATTAACAGAATACATGTGGTTTTAATGGCCAGATAATGGAGGATTATCGACATGTAAACCACAAGGTGAGTTTCAGATGTTACATTAGCATTTACGATATTATGTACGTTGGATGTGATATGACATGTACGTCACGACAAACCACGTCACTTATTTTCGTCGGTCCGTATGTCTGCCCGTCTATCCGCTAATCCTTGGCACGTCTATAACTTGAGAACTACCGCTCGGATTTTGATGAAATTTTCACAAAAGGTCACTACTATGCCAAGGGCAAAAAGCTTTGAATTTTTTGTAAATCAGTCCAGTGGCGGGGGAGCTACAGGTGAAAAACAAAAAAAAATCGGTCAAGCTTTGTTTTTTGTCGTTTCTGAGGATCCTGCGCATTTTCAGAAAAATTTTGCATGGATTGAAAATTGGCTGTTGGGAGTGGGGGAAAGTATACGATATGTCAATTTTTTGTACCAGCAATTTATATGTTTCCAAGTTCGGTAATAATACGCACCTATTAGACATCCTTTTTACGTCATAGATTTTCCCGTACATTTGCCCTTAAAACTTGAACGATGGAGAAATATCTTCCATATGCGCATGCAGAGCGACTCAACGAGATTCATCTATCTGCTTCTAGGGATAGTAGATACTATAGAATCTGTGGAATCTAGCGTCCCCAGTGGTGACCCGGCCGACAATGCGAACTGGGATACAGTTCTGACAATCAGCTTGCTGTTTTTACTCTCGAAATGGTCTATTCTGGTCGTAGATGGCACTTTGTACTGTCTTATTTCAGTATTACGATGTATGTTATATAAATCTAAATCAGCAGCTCCACTCGCGTAAGGTACTGTAAAGTATGGTTCATTCGTTTTGCTTTAGTGTGAAAGATATTGGTAAACAAATAATAAAAATGTAGCAGGGTGTTAAAGGTTTAAACTATTAACAATGAATACGTATATTTTGATAATATACAGGGATTGTCCGGAAAGTAATGAGACTCATTTTCTTCCGACATGACTGTACTTCGGAGCGTGCGCGCACCGACTAGATTCGGTAGAGGGCGTTCCTAGCTAACGAATTAGCGGCTGGTCAGTTGTCTGTTGTCTCCGAGCACTTGGAGAGACGGGACAGGCATTTTCGTGCGACGTGTTTCTGTGAGTGGTGCAAGCCGAAAATGCAGCGTTCGTTATAGCAGAGGTACGCGATTAAATTCTGTGTGAAACTCGGTAAATATGCGACAGAGACGTTTGATATGATCAAGCAGGCTTAACCAGGTGTTGCTTTAGCAAGAAGTGGTGTGTTTCGGTGGCACCAGGCCTTTTTGGAGGGCCGGGAAGAGGTCGCTGATGAAGACCGTGCTGGAAGACCTTCGACTTCGACAAACCCCGATAATGTGACTCGTGTGCGCAAAGTTTTGAACTCAGACCGTCGACTAAGTATTGGTTCAATTGCCCAGATGTTAAATTTACCAAAATCTGTGGTTCATGACATTGTGACACAGCATTTGAACATGCGCAAGGTAGTAGTAGTAGTAGAAAGATTTATTTAGCACATTTGGCTACATAAACAGAACAATTGTAAACAACTTAGAACTAGTAAATTCAAGCCATATGGTGTATGATGTAAATGCTGGGCAACCTATAATTGTAGATTTAACAAGTGATTTCTCAATTTTACTTTAAATTTTGTCAAAGTTTTCTGGTCTTTTATCTCCGAGTATAATTTATTATATTCAATCAACCCTTGATGGAATACAGATTTGTAGCATATGTTATACTTTTTGGTCATTAAATGGAAGTCATCTTTATTTTTATTTCTGGTATTATGTAAATGATGGTCGACATTTGATGATGTTAAATTAGTTAGACTTGATGGAAATATATTATTTTTTACTTTATAAATGAATATCATTACAAGATATTTGATAAAATTTTTTACATTGAGCCATTTTCATTTGCTAAGCATTTGCCTAATTGGAGTATATTTATCTTTATTTAGTATTATTCTCATGCACTTATTTTGTAAAATTTGCAGTCTTTCAAAAATGGAATTATTTGCTAAATATAGAATACTCGAACAGTACAAGAAATTTGGAAGAATGATGGTATTATAGATAATTTTTCTGCTATATGAACTCAGACATCCAGAAACTCTCGATAAATATCCCACTTTACTACTAATCTTATTTATAACTTTTTCATAATGAATATCAAAAATTAATCGAGAGTCAACAAAAACTCCCAGGTATTTAAAATTTTCTACAAATTCAATATCTTCACCATCAATATTCAGTTGAACATTTGTACATTGTTTTTTTCCGATTAACAAGGCTTTCGTTTTACTTGCATTTAATTTTAGTCTGTTAGATGCTAACCATTTTGAGATAAGCTTCAAGTCTTCATTTATATAAGAGATACCAGACTGAATATTTTTAGCATTTATATAAATCATAGTGTCATCGGTGAAAATTTTAATTTTGCATTTTTTGACTATGGCAGGTAAATCATTTATGTATAAAATCAAAAGAAGTGGTCCCAGGATACTGCCCTGTGGAACACCCAACGTATTTTCAATTTTTGATGAAATAGTGTCAATAAAGTGAAATAGTGTTATTATCGATTTGTTTATCGTAGAATTTTCTTTTTTCTTCTCTAATTACATATACACATTTATTCCTAAGAGTTTTATATACCTCCCAATCATCATTTGATTTTGTGAATATACATTTATTGTATTGTTTGTCTCACAAATTTTGAGCTGCCTTAATATTCTTGTTATACCAGGGTGTATTTTTTGTCGAGCAAATCACTTTTTTATCAGTTGCAAGATCTAAACAAGTTTTTATATTTCCTATTATGTTGTCATATATTTTTTTCCATATTCTCACCAAAATTCCAATAGCAGCCAGTAAGTTCTCGTTCAAGTTTTTCGTACTTAATAGTATTTACGATTTTCTTAATTTTTGTATCAGAAAAATGCGCTACCAAAGGCAGCATTGTCCAACTGTGATCGCTAACTTTAGGTGTATGTACAGCTTTAATCCCTGCACATTCGAAATTTACAATAACAAGATCTAACAAAGTCTCAGATAATGATGTTATTCTGGTACTCTCCTCAATTTTTTGCTTGAACCCATAGTTGTTTATGGTTTCTTTCAATTTTCTTGTTTTCATGCTTTTACCATAATAATTTAAATTAAAATCACCTAAAAGTATTATATTGTTTCTAAAATTCCACATTTCGTCGCATTTTTCTTCAAATACGTTAAAAATGTATCTGCATCACTGTTTGGTGAACGGTAAAAAGTACAAAGATCATAACGTTTCCCAAATATTTTGAACTGTATATGTGCGTACCAGTATTCATAGTCTAAAGTGGTACAATCGAATAATGTGATCTGTATTTTGTGGTAAATAAATAATTTTTTTTAAATCGACTCAGTCCTATTACTTTCCGTACAAACCCTGTATAGTAGAAAACACCAACTTTATCACTTCCTAATCAAACTTGCAGCGTAAAATGTTGCAATGTGTGTGATAATAAATTTTTTTAATTCTGGGAATTCAAACTCAGAAATTGCAGCTTTGTTAGACTTATCGCGGTACAGTGTGAGAAATATTGTTAGAAGATATAACGTAACTGGTTCAGTTAATATTAAGCCACGATATGTGAAAAAAAGTAATATCACAAATGCCGACCGAAGAGCATTAAGACGAATAATCGTGAAAAACAGGCGTGCCAATTATTTACAATTAAGTGCTCTGTGGAGTGACGCTGTTGGAAGGAGAATTTCGAGGTCCACAACTCATAGAGAGGCCCACAAACTGGGATTTAGCACTTGTAAGGTAAGTTTTCTTATAAAAAAAGTGAAGTAAAAACCCTAAAGTTGCACAACTTGTTTATAGGCCAAATAAAAGCCACTATTAACTCCACTGCAAATGAAAAATCGGCTTAGATGGGCTAAAGAACATAGACAATGGACACCTCAACAATGGTGTGCAATACAATGGAGTGATGAGGCCCGATTCGAAGTTTGTGTTGGTGACAGTCGCAGTAGAGTTATTCGTAAAAAAATGAAGCATTCCATGTTGACTGTCTGAAGGGAAAAGTGAAATTTCCTGCATCCATTATGGTCTGGGGCAGTATTTCATCAAAAGGAGTAGGAAAACTTCATTTTATTGATGGGAATGTGGATACAAACAAATATTTGGCAATTTTAGAAGAATCGCTATTACCAGTGATGGAAGAATGTTTGACATCCGGCCAAGATTTTGTGTTTCAGCAAGATGGTGCAGCGTGCCATACCTCAAAAAAGGCTATAAAATGGATGGAAGAAAATAATGTACCACTTTTGAAATGGGTTTGTAGCAGTCCAGATCTGTCACCTATTGAAACTTTGTGGCACGAGATGAAAAAGGTTCTACGACAACATCCTGCTCGTACAATCACCGAACTGGGACAAAAGCATCAAGAAATATGGGATTGTTTTACACCAAATTTTTGCCAAAACTTGGTTAATACTATGCCCCAAAGAATTTCGACCGTAATAAAAAATAAAGGTGATGTTACCCAATGGTAATCTTTCAATTGTTGCTTTGTTAACTTCGCGCATTTATTCGCACATGGTTTATTTGTTCAGATGTTCTATTAGTTATAGGTCTAATATGTATTTTTTACGACTAGAGTGTATCTAAAATGTTTTTGAGAAAAAAAATTGATTTAGAAGTAAATGGTTTCGTCATGTTTACTTTATAAAGGCATATTTTGGTACAGATCTTGAAGTGGGCCAACTGAAGTGGGAAGGGGCTCGTACAATATAATTACAATAGAACACAGCTAACCTAACCCAATAACTATTTATTCACAGATTTATACTTGAAGCGAAACAAAACACCAAGCAAATGTAAATCAAGGCGCTCACGCTATGAAAGCGAATGACGAAATGAAGTAAATGCACGATGCAAATACTCTGTTTATATACCTTTAGTCATTACGGTCGTACCAGCGATAGAGCGCTTTCGCGCCAGACACCATGTCAAGTTCCATTAAGCCGTTTGGGCTGTAGCCCGAGCAATAATTAGTTCAAAATTATTTGCCGGGATAAAGGTAGCCTATGTGCTATTCCAGACTATAATCTATCTCTGTACCAAATTTCATCGATATCCGTTCAACATTTTTGGAGTGATTGAATAACAAACATCCACACTTTCTAATATTATATTCACAGTAATGTCTTACCTGCATGATGATATCCAATACCATACCTAACACTACTTTTTATTTTTTCATCGGCAATGGTTTCCGCAATTTCACACAATTTTTGAGTTTGTTGCTCGCTAAGTTGGAATTTTATCCCCTGAATCAAATGAAGTGCTGACATTTCGACACTTTTCCTTGTACTACAGAAAATCTACAAAAAAATACATTACCTTAAAGAGAACAAACATATTTCTACATGTTCATGATTAAATTCGAATCAATCATCAAAATTTGATAACTCTCAGGTGATTTTCTCGTTTTACTTTTTTTGTACAATCGTTTGAATTGAGTACCCATTACCAAGCTTACCAATGTTGGTTTTCCTTCGGAATACTGCGTTATCAAATTTTTCAATTTGTAATTTAGCGATAAATCAAATTTGAACGGAGACATATTTTTAGGATTGTAACTATAACCGAGAACAATTTTGTTTAGTTTAACAGGTCGCATATCTTCGGAAAATCTGAAAAAGGATACTATTATTAAAAAAAGTTTGGTTTTTTGTTGGTCTTACATACTTGTAACAATGAAGATGAGGGCCTTTGCAAATCCATTTTGCAATATCCTCCACATTTGGAACAGTAGCAGATACTGCTATAAAACGTATGCCTTGGTTGATATCTTGTTTAACTGTTATCTTTTCTTTCTCTACAGTTTTCATTCTACAAACCTAAAATTAAACAATTTATGGAGTGCTACAGTATGCTGTCAGGCAAATTTAAGGACATGTAAAAATATAAACGAGGTGTCAAGATTTGTCGAAAAATTGTTCACCATTGGATTTCGCTAAAATAAGTGTCGCTTCCTCAAAGCACAAAGACACGTTGATCTTGCTTGAAAAAGTTCCGCTCTTGGAATGATCTCAGTCTGCGAATTGGAAGCCCAGTCTCCACGTGATCGCTAGATGGCGACGATTATAGCTGTGTAGTAGATGTGGTCTACTTGCCATCGAATAAAATAAGCAATTGGTTATGTAACGCACGGTTGTGAGATGATCTTAACTATGACCTTCAAAGTTAAGTCAAAATGTTATTGGAATTGAAAGGCAACCTCTTGATTTTTATGGCATAAGCATTTTATATTTTAACCTTGAAGTGATGGTCAAGGTCATGATGTTCCTCAAAGCTCACAACTGTGATGTTGGACATTTTTACTAGAACAATGTTTTGATTTGACCTTAAAATGTCATGGTGATGGTCATCGTCAAGGTTGTATTCGTACGTAAAATTTATACCTCTGACCAGTTCCAATGCACAAAAGACTTCTATTTGAAAATATTTGCTTGAACTTGAAATGACCCTAATGCTCGCGTTCAAAGTCATGGTCAAGGCCAAGATAATTTCACCTCCTCGAATTCCTACACCTTTTACTTTTTTCTAGGATGCCTAGACTTCAAAATATTTATGTGGGGAGATTAAAATGAGACACCATATATTTTACCAGCTCAAAGCTGCGTAAAAGCAAATAATTTGCTGCCGCGACTGTTGTAGAATTGAAAAAAACTCTTACCACAACTTCTAATGTAGATCCTCGATTATCCTCATGTAACAAATGTACTTCGTCAATCATGAACAACTTAATGTGACGAACAATTTTTCCATGATCGCGCCACTTTCTCGAAAGACTGTCCCATTTTTCTGGAGTCGATATTATAAGATGATGACTGATTATACTGCTTAAATCCACCTCTGTGGAGTCGCCTGTAACAGCTGTGCACTTCAATCCAAATTTTGAAAATTTGCTGTGCCAGTCAATCAGCCTTTCTTGGCATAGGGCTTTTATTGGGCTTACTGAAAATATTTTTTGAGTAGTATCGTCAAAAGTAAACAAACGAAAACATCGGAACCCACTAAATCGATTTTTAAGATGTTTGATTGAATGCGTTTAAAATATATTAAAACCTTATACCTATTAATTTTGTGTGGATATTGATTTTCAAGTATTTATAAAATTACATTTTCTATGTAAGTATGCGAATATTCAAGTTATATATAATTAATTGTTAATTGGGAAATTGGCAAACTATTTTAGGCTTTAGTTATCTCTTTTGACGATAGTATCAAGCTTTCGGCAATTCTGCAGCCAAATAGTGTTTCAAAACGAACGCGGAGATGAGAGCACTTGTTACAAATATAAAACCAATCGGACGGACACATTGAGCTTATTGATAACCGATTTTGTCCCCAGAATTGCTTCTCGTTAATTTAAAAAAAAATATGTTTAATAAGTTTGGGTGTATTGATTTATAGTGTTAACACATAATGACGTTATCCGTCGTTATCAATAAGCTCAATGTGTCCGTCCGATTGGTTTTATATTTGTAACAAGTGCTCTCATCTCCGCGTTCGTTTTGAAACACCACTTGACTGCAACCTCAACGATGAATCCTGATGAAGGCTCCATAGAGAATTGCCGAAAGCTTGATACTACGTATATATATCGTCAAAAGAGTTAACTAAAGCCTAAAAAAGTTTGACATTTCTTAATTAACAATTAATTGTATTTTTTGCCCAGCTGGTCGTTAGCAATGGCAATGACTACCCCCTACGTTATATATATATATATATATATATATATATTCTATTAAATTACTTGAGACTTGAGATCTGTACATTAAATTAGTCAGGGATTTAATTTGCATTGACTCAGTTATCCCAGGGCTATCATTTACAGGGTGATTAGGGGTGCAACTAAGCACGCCACTGGTTTCGTTTTTTCAATGCAATCAAGGTACGTTCAGACAAAAAGAAATTTTCTGCTTGCAAACAAGTAGTTCGACGCAGATCGAATTAGAGGATGATGAAACAGTCGATCACTTGCTTTGCGACTACCCAGCTGCCCTATCATAATAACAAAATAATAATCTATTCTAGGTGAACGTGACCCCGTGTAACGGAAACTCCGATGGGCCGCATCAACGCATTTTTCAATAGTTTGGGGTGATTGATAATCCAGCAATGCGTGAGCCCTGGGGAGGACATACATAAGGGACTCAATGGGACCTAAGTTCTGTGATCTTGACTAATTGCCCTTCACAACTAGAAAAATTATTAAAATCACAAAACGACCAAAACTAAGCAGAAATATAGAAATACCCCTGGATAGCCTTAGATTTATTCAACAGGACGCGAGAAAAACAACAAACCCCACAGTTTTTAATAGCAGTATATATTTCATGAGTCGCAGTAGATAAAACTCGACCGGTCTAGGAACATTTGATACATTCCAGTTTAGTAGTGTATCATGTTTGATTGATTTTCATAACTATACAGTCTCTGAAATTGCTTACCAACAGGTAAGCGGGGATACCTGTTCCTTGTTCCCTTGATCACATTCATTAAGAAACCCAGAGGAGTTAAAATTAGAAATATCCGGTTAAACACGCATTACCTCTGGGGTAATTCAGTCGGATATATCTTGCACAAAGTCCCTTAGAGCCTACCTTCGATTTACAGAGTTTTTTTCCAAATCGTTCAACAGTAGTGCGGCCCATACCAACACTTTGATCCCTACAATTCGTAGACCAGTTACTGGGCTCTACTACTTAATTCTAACTATATTAAAAAATATAAGAGGACATAGGCGCGTTCAGGGTGGGAGAGGACAAAGGTGGGGCCGTGCCCCCCCCCCCCCTCCTGAGATCCGGTTGGAACTCAAAATTTGCATATTTAGCATGATGTTGTGTACAAATTCAAATACTTTTAGGATTTGGCGGCCCCCTGCACCCCTTTTGAAGACAAGTAGACCTTCACAAAAAAGTTGTCTCTGCTAATGATCATAAGCTAGGAAAATAATGTTTCTGATTTTTACTTACTATAGATTATCTTGAAATCCTGCTCTAATGCGTCCACATTTTGATAATGTGTTAAAAGTCGCACAATGGCTAATTCAAATATAACAGTTTTCCCTGATCCAGTTGGGGCCGAAATGACAACAGACTCATCTAGGGAAAATAATCCGGAAATTATTTAATTTTTTTAGTTATAACGTTAGAAAGTTTACCTGTTTTCAACATATCGTCTAGAACCTTTGACTGAACTAAATTAAAACAAGGATATTCAGCAAATATCCTTTGGTATGGTTCAGGCACTTCTTCTACACTCCGAAGAGCCTCCATTCCAAGTGTTAATGGTCACTTTTCTCTTATGAAAATATTTTCTGTTAGAAACAGAAAATTATCTTATTGTCAAGCCTCTAGGAATGAAAGAAATCAACACTCAACAGGCAACTTGATTCACATTTGAATTTGAAAATTTCACAGAACAGACTTTATAGAAAATAGAAAAAGCATGAAACAAAAACCTGCAAAATTAGTGACGCAGCGCGTAGCTCAAATATGTTTATTCAAACTTTGTCCGGAAGGTGGCACCTATGTAATTACAGCGTCATTTTCAGAGTTTGCACATTTCTTTTTTATAATAATAATATGCAAGATTGAAGCGAAGTTAGCGAAGCACTGTGCTGCAGATCTCCTGCCAAGAAGACGGCGCCGCCATTTGTCGGACATCAACGGTGTTGCCGTCGTTGTCTATTGCAGCTCCCACTTGTTCAGTCTTGTGTGTTTTGTTTGATAAACCAAGAGATGGTAGTACACGAAACAAGTTATAAAACGTCACTTTTTGAGGTTAATTTAACAACTAAAATTATGTTAGTTAATCATGAAGCAATCATCTGTTTACTTCGTACTTCGTAGTCTGGTATAGTTGGGTAGTATCTTCTCTTCTCATTCTTAGTGGTTCACGTACGGTATAACAATGTTTTTAAAAGATTGTTGATAATAATCAATCACTGACGACAAGTTTATGATAATGAAACTTTCAAATGTGATGTTTGACTATCCAGTACCTTGACCACATCAAGAAGAGAACGTAACATTGTGATCTATTTAATTTCAAAAGCAATATTGCTGCCAAAGTGAGAGACCACGAAACTCAAGGTAGGTGTAGTAATTACAACTGATTTTTTTTATGACAAAACGAAAAATTGCAGGTTCCTATTGGGGTAGAATCTATCAGTGGATCTAAAACATGCCTAATTATTTTTACTGGAGCAATACTGTGGAAAATTTCCTTTTTAAAGGATGTTCTGTCAATTCAAATCGAGGTCTAACAGGACTTTGCTTCATAATATTTGTGATGGCGTTTATGTTTGAATACTTGAGATATATTCAAACTATTCACAAACAAAGGGAATTGAAACTGAGGGTAAAGCAACTAAAACTACTATGTCCAACAGAAAGTGCTAGTTTGCTTCAAAGGTCAATTACAGATCCTACTAATCCATTTAATATCACTTTATTTGATAAGTAAGTATTCTAGAGAGTATCTTATTTTGTCAGCAGACTAAAAAATAGTATCAAGCACTGCATTTTTACTACTACTGTTTTCTGATACCTGATGTGGAGTTACTATATTCAGAAATGTATCCTGTGATGGTTGTCTTTTTGCACCATTTCTCTTAATATATCCCAAAAATTAAACTACTAATGATAAAGTATGACTTGATTATCTGGTTGAATCATAAACCTCATATATGTTTAAATTCCTATTTAATGTACAATGTTTTGACCACCATAGTGCCCTTTTTCAAATACAATGATAATAATGACTATACATTCAAAACTTCTCTCTGCACAGACATGTGTTTTTCTATTACTTGCTTCTCCTCTATTGATGAATTTGCTACATTACTGATATTCTAGTGGCAATATTCTCTATAGTTTCATTTATTGGGAAATGGAGTGACAAGATTCAAATATATGCTTTAAATAAGTTCAGTAAACCTACAAACACCCTTTCCTGACTTCTGAGTAGTTGCAGATGTTATACAAAGCTAAAGTCTAGAGAAAAAATTGCTGTGATGAATCATAATATTACTTTCTTATCTGTTCCTTTACTGAAATTGAATCTATAAGTAGTAAGCAACATATTTTTATCAGTTAGCAAGGAATGTTATCATTGTTTTATTGGATGTACAAGTGTTATAAAGCCGAAATTGCTCAGTAGGGGAAATTTATTATTAAATCTTTGAAATATTGTGTTAAACTGTACTCTTAAGGCATTTCTTGAAAACAATTTTCTTTGCTCTCGTAAAGTATTAATTTCATTAGAATTAAACATGCTTTGCAATTCCTTTGTCATTATTGATAAAACATATTTTTATATTACTGGGGATGTGTGTGATAAATCCTTAATCCAAGCTCCCTGTCTCACCTTAAATCTTCAATGATTTTGCATTTTTTGTGTTTAATGCTGATAAAACAATAATGATGGAATGTCTGGAGATTAATGATAATATCTAACATCCATGATTATTAATTGTAAGTCAAAAGTAAAATGAAGTGAGCTATTTGTATCGAACTTCATACATCCATAACTGGCCGATACGACCGCTCCTTTGTCCCTAGGGTATTGGGATTGTGGAACAATCTACATGAGGATTAACAGTTTCTTCAAGCTCCTCATAGCAGCCACAATGTCCTGGCATTTAGGCTTCAGCCTGCACGGCTGCTTGACTTTTAGAAAAAACTAAATTAGTATGTTGTTGAATATGTGCAAAATTGATGACTCCAGAAGTTCTGTTTACAGTTCATGAGATGATATAATTCGCTTCATTGGTGCTCGCCACCTTTATGTTATTAAAGGCACTGAATGTGAATGTAAATGAAGCTACTTTATGATGGTAAAGTTAACTACAATTTTTAGGGCCCTTTTATTCAGCACTGAGGTATCGCTATGGTTGGTGCTCCAGAACTTAGGTTACTTCATCATGCTGAGTGTCATGATGTATGATGCTTGGTTCCTAGTATCTGCTGTTTTGGGCGGTGGTGTCGGGTACTACGTTTTTGGACAGAGTTTCATGAGAATCAATATTCAAAACTGCCAACTGATGCGAAGCGCGTTTTGCACGCAGATTTGTGGTGAGCTGGGTAAGTATTTTATAAGAAAGAGATGGCCATAAATAATCCCAATGAATTTTAGCAAAAATTCAGACTGGAAATCCTCAAAACGTCCAACAATATGACCTGATCTGAACCCTGTGTCCTTTATCCTGCCTGGTGATAACCTGTGCCATGAAATCCATTGGTAACCTGAATTCATATACTAGTTATGACAGACCAATACTTGATTGATTGTTGTTACTTGCTTATATTATAGCATGTTGAATTAAAGAAATCCGAAAATACAATGGTTCTACGTTTCAGTGGTATGCATACATTAATAGTTTACAAACTATTTTTACTACAAACTATGAAATAGTACGAGGGTAACGTGAAAAGTTCGCGCATCGACAATGAAAAACTGCGATTTTCGGTTAGAAAAATGAATATTTTTCTATATAATCCCATTAGACTCCAATATTAGGAGTCTTTGGATGGAATTGAGTGGAAGACTATCAGAATATGCATCTTTGATCCTCTCAACTTCTTCATCGAAAGAAAGAAGTTTTTCCAGATTTGGGAGTAGAAGGAATTTTGAGACTGCCAAATTAAGAAAATCATACAATTTCCCCATTGCTAACACACCTTTGTGAGCACGTGCGTTTAAGCCAGGCCTCTTCTCAAGAACTTATTTATCCAATTGATCAAAGAGGTTGAGATAGTATTCATACGTAATTGTTCTACCCTTTCAAGGCAATCAATTAACAAACTATCTTTCATACCCCAAAACACACTAGCAATAATATTTCCTGCAGATGCAGTCGACTTTGCTTCTTTAGCATTGAACCACCGGATTCTGCCCACTGCTTCACCCTGCTTTTTGTTTCTGGCATTTAGTAGTGAACGTCTTTCATCCATGGTAACGAATTGCCACATAAAATCGTCGGATTCCTACTGAATTGATCCAAACATTGGTGTGTTTGTTTCCGCATTCGCTTTTGATCGGCATTAGCAAATGCGGCTCAACTTACGCAGAGCTTCCGCATCAGCAATTGTTTGTACATGATGCTTCACATCCTTTCTCCCGATGTCTCCACGACCTCGCGTATAAAAGATGCAAAAAAGCGGACCAGTCGATTTGACTGAAAAATCATTATAATTTCTCGCCTTCCTGAACAAAGGTTCTAATGAGACCAAAGCAATCATATGATTAATAGAAGGATGAAGTTCGTTCGATTTGGAAAATAGTGAATGTGTTGATTATAGTTCTCAGACCAAATACTCGAAGAATTGTAATCCTTCATAGCCATAGGCAGGTGTCATGTTTATCTTGACCATGATGCTTAGAAGGTGGATTGATGAAAATGGAAATGCAGCATTGTGCTCGAAGATTGCTTGCTAGTCTACATCGGCGGTTAAATCAATAAATCAAATGAACTCCCGTCTGGAAAACATTTGTCATTAATTTGATTTGCACTGCCGTGGCAGCCGAAAGGTGTAGTAAACATTGAACATATGTGTTTTTATTTATTTGCCAGTGTAGGAGATGTATAAGTTGCAGCAACTTAAAATAGTTTCACACATGTGCACTTTCTCTTTTGAAATAAACATGAACTGTACTTTATAGTGAGTTTTCGAATAACTCGTGCCAAATCTGTTTCATCTCCGACGTAAAAAAATAAATTGACTTCAAATTAAACTTGTAAGGAGCATGAGCAAGATCAGCACCACATCTTCCAATACCTTTCTACAAGGTTTTCAATGAAATAATATACTCAGTGCAACAATTATTCGAGATCTACAATGGACACATTCACCATTTTTGCAATTTCGGAAAACTTCACCCCCCTATTTCTCAGAAGCGAATCATAGGATTGCTTTGGTCTCATGAGAACTTCTCTTCAGGAACAAGTTAAATATATCATACTGAATATTTTAGGCAAATCGACTGGGAGCCATTTTCCGTATGTTTTGTGCAGGGTCCTTTGTGTAAACAAACTACAAACAACTATTTTTCTCCTTAGGAACCGTTATATAAAGTTGATATTTTTGAGCCATGAACGATTTGAAGTGAAATGATCATTTTATCACTTAAATAATAAAAATCATAATTTTAGGTTTGTCAAGTGTTTAAACCTCAAACATTTCGAGGACAATTTTGGACAGTTTCAATTTAAAGCAGTGTTATTTAATTGTTAATTACGCCCTATGGGCACGCAAGTCGGTGCTTCGTACATAGCTTCTTCCGTATATTATAGTTGGCTACTAAAATGGAAGAGATTAGTATAACGCATTGTACGCCACTGCTACGGCGGTATGTCTTTGTTCATCAGCCTGCGAAGCTTACCATACTCAAAGACTAACTAACTTACCTACTCCCGTCTATCGTCAAACACTATATGTTATTTAATTGTTAATTACGCCCTATGGGCACACAAGTCGGTGCTTCGTACATAGCTTCTTCCGTATATTATAGTTGGCTACTAAAATGGAAGAGATTAGCATAACGCATTGTACGCCACTGCTACGGCGGTATGTCTTTGTTCATCAGCCTGCGAAGCTTACCATACTCAAAGACTAACTCACTTACCTACTCCCGTCTATCGTAGAACACTATATGTTGAAACTCTTCGAAGATTTCAGGAGTGCTGGCGGTTCTTGCCGATTTTCACTTCGGTCACCTTTAAGGGGCATGTAACCGCGTTTAAATTCAGCTGCTCACTTTTTAATAGCTGAAATCGTAGGATCACAGAATGCAGAAAACATACAGAAAATGCTTCGATTTGACGAAAAATTCAGTAAATTTCTCACCTTCCTCTGAACCATGGACAGTCCGATGATTAGATTCTGAGAAATAGGGTGATGTTTGTCCGATTTGAAATGTTGAATGTACCCATTATAATTTTCGGATTAAATACTCAGAGAATTGCAATCCTGAAAGAAATATTTCATAAATAATTGTATATGTCATGTTCGAAAAAACTTTGCAAAATATGAGTCGCGCAGCAATGTGGAGAGTGGTTACAATCTATGAAATACATACTGTCTGCGTATCCCCACAACATAGACTTGCTTTATCAGCAAAGGGTCCCCTCATAATGCCTATCAGATTGTTCAACAAGTTGCTAGTTTCAGTGTTTTCCAACGCCGCGTTAATAGTCTATTTATGGAAAACCCTTTTACAGCATTGAATAATTGCATTTAATTTATTTTCAATCCGTTTTCAACGTGTTCGTCCGTATTTCTTTTATTTGCTATTTATTAATTTCTTTTTAATCTGTTTGTTTATGTTGTTATTTTGTGTACATTATGTTTTTATTATTCAATTTATTGTAGCTTTGACATTAGTGTCGACTGGATCACGACTTTTTAAGTATTTTTTTTTATTTTATGTTGCTTGACAATTTGCCGAGACTGTTTAAGTCAAATGGCAATAAATATATGATTATTATTATTAAAAGCCTCGTTGGGAGGTATTAGGAGGTGTCATGTTGTGATCCTTAGAAAGTGGATTCATGAAAGATGCAACATTGCGCTCGCAGATTGCCTGGTTGTCTACATCGGCGTTAAAACAAATTAACAAGGTTGCCTAGAAGTCAGATATAAATAAAGAACTCAGTATCTGACTAATCATATGTCATTAATTTGGTTCGTACTTTAGAAAAGGCTGGGGAGGCAGCAGAAACGTCGTTAAACTAGTCCATTCAACATATGTGGTTTCATTTATTGACCAGTTTAAAGTAGAATTATAAGTTGCACCAACTCAAAGCGATGTTCACACTTATGCGCTTTCCCTTTCATCTTCTAAATGAACATGACCTTGATTTGACTTTGCGAAGGTCACAATCAAAGACAAGAGAGACCGCCACTTCAAAAAATCATATAGACAAACTACTTGAGAGAACAAGCTGTATCTCTCACATGTATTGAGATCTACATGCATAGGATCCTTATCTTGGACACCCTGTGTACTGCGGCTAAATTATTGTAAAATGAATGAGACATTGATTTATCATTTCTTTAACAAATCTACATTCGCATGCTGAAGTCCAGCCTTTGAGTAAAGTGTTTCAAACATTGTTGAATAATTATTCATTCGCAAGTAAATGGACAATATTGTGGAATACCTTACTAACTCCCATTATGACGTGCCTTATCTTGGTCTTAGAATTGCTTAGATCAAAATAGATTGTCGACTAATAAAAAGTTGCCTAGCATGCCCTTAAATTATTTAATTTGCGTAATTGTAGTATGCTGGTGATCTGCTACATCGCAACATATCTAGTACTACACAGTAATGCCACTAACTTAAAAGTTCGCTGAATTTTTGGACGAACTATGGCATGGAGAGCAGCGAGAAGATGCCACGTGGAAACGAATTTGATGCTATCATGATTTAACTTTTTGCTGCGCATACTGTAAAACGATTTTTTGCTGCGCATACTATAAAACGATTTTTTACTGACTTGAATCCTTGTTCAGAAGATGGCAATCCAGAAGGGCAGACTACACCACCAGCTGACGATACTCCGTCAACATCACATGGGAATCTACACCAAAAAAGTAATGTAGAAACCACTACAGTGAAGGTACAATGTCACTAGCATCAGTCGAATGTTCAGTTATCAACTACTTGTCCAAAACATATCTGACTTTTCGAATCAGTTTTTTATATTCTAGAATTGTTTTTTTTTTTCGCGTTTCGAGCTATGGTGCTGTTTATATTAGTATCTTGTATTTAATAATGTATATGAAGAAAGCTGATGACTGAAAATTCTAATTAAATATTCCAGATTGATACTACTCGTCGTTGCTTCTCAAGGTGGGTCCAGAGGTCCTTAACCTTTGTTAGTTTCCGAAATTGAGATATTTTAAAAATAAATAGTTTCCTAAGTTTTCTCCCTATCATTGCTCAAACCAGTATAGGTATAATCTAAAACAGATTATATTAACGAAATATTTAATTGAAAAGGGGCAAAATGATTGTCACAAGATTCCGTTTCTACATATTGTTGAAATTCCCTTTTTTCCAATATTTTCAGTGTGATTTTTATTGAGATAGAGATGCGTAAAGGTGTATCCATTTTCGCTGTGAAAATAAGCTTAGTCACTAAAGATTTCAATGTGTCAGTTCAGTACGCATACTCTGTAAATTACAAAAGTGCCTTATTACCATTTGACACAAACCGAATGGTTTTTATATCCTACTTTTTTTGATAGCTTTCTTCCTATTCTTTGAGACCAGTAATTGCAGAAATAAACAATATTGTTATTTGTTTCTTATCATCACTGTTTGTACATATCAATACATAATATTTGGATGTTGTTTTGACTCAGTTTTAGCTTAGATGGTCTCAATAGTTTTTTAAGACGTCTTTGCAAATCAAAACAGATGTTGTTAATTCAAGGAATATCCAAATATATATATTTTATTTTGTTTCTGTTATATCTCCTATTGTGATAAATACATAATAAATAGTATTTAAATAGTTGTTTTCCTTTTAAACACTTCCTTATTATAAAAAACCGTTTATGGTCCGTTCAACATTTTTAAATCAAAAACTGCGCTGTTTAAAGATGCTACATCCAAAAAGACAATAGTATAATATGTTTTATTAAAATTTGATTACAAATTTATACAAATGGTATTTGCTAAATGTTATAAATGTAACATTTGCTTAGAGCTAAATCACATATGAGATACAGTAAATAAAATTCTTAAGTACAGAAACATCTAGAAAATAGAGGTTTGGAATTTTTCCTATTTGCATAACATTAGTATATAGATAGATCCTGATTTAAAATCAGTATTAATTTAAATAAAATGATTTGTAAAATGTTGCAAAACATTTACAAAGACAGTACAGGTATAAGAAATTGTTATTTTTCGTTAACGTTTTAGGATTAGTAACTGATCTATCATTATTAGTAGATGTTATTCATTATTTACATTAACTAATCTAGCTATATCCATGCATGTACAAATCATATTAAGAAACAGTCAAATATTAGCTTTATGATTGAGATTAAAATGTTAAAACTGAGGTCGTTGTCATGATATTGGATATATATATAAATGTTTTCAACAGATCTATTTCTTATCTACAACAATTTGAGTATTGGAATGTGTAGTAAATAGCAAAGAGCTTCATTTCACACACATAAAATATCATAAGGTAAAACTATGAGTTGAAAATAAATGTCTTTTACTTTTGAGATGTGTAAATTGCATCTATCGTATAAGAGTATATTTTTCTAAAAACATATTTTTGTCAAAAAATTCAAGTAATGACATTAACAGAAAATAAAACTCTTGTTTTAGTGATATGGTTAAGGTCTTGCTTTATTTGAAGACACTTAAAAAAATAAGCATTCATACTTCTTTTGAGAAATAAGAGTATTATTAAGTACATGTATAAAAATACTTTTCTTTGAAAAACAACATACTTTTTGTTAAATGCATTCAAGTGATGACATAACTTTGACAAACAATTGCATTGTCTTAAATAAAAATCTCGTTTTCGAAATATGTTTAAAGTCTTGCCTTATTTCAAGACAAATTTGAAAAGAAGCATTCATTTTAGCTGTCTTCATATTTGAATTGAACAATGTCAGTCAGTATTAAGTACATATGTGCCAAAAATTATTTTTTTTTGTATAAAAATCAGATCATCAGAAATAAAAATGTATAAGTCATATGCTTTTATATAGAAATGAACACGCAAACCAGAATAGTATACTGGATACTTCAGCGATTTAAAAGTGAGATAACAATCGAACTTGTCTTGGGAACATTCAAGAGTAGCTGTCTGGTAACACTGATTAGCATTTCGGAATCTTGGTAAAACTCTCTATCTATTTGGAACATATCTGAAAACACAGACTCGCTTGACTTGTCAGAGCTGAACTTCCAAAAGATTTCACCACCTTGGAAAAAAAGCAAATTCTATGTTTGCATAATATACAGATTACCTAATTACTATAGTAGTGGTATCAATATATTATTCATTGATTCATACACATCGTAAGGAATAGTATCATCATCATTGACTTGACTGATGACCTTGTAATTTCCTGATTAGAATGACAAACCAATAATTGAAATACAATTAAAAAATTGGGTATCTCTTTTAAGGATATTTTTGTCAAAAGCATAATAGATATACAATATCAACTGTAACATATAGAGTAATATCTGTGATCAAACAAAAAAGCATCCATCGCATTTTTTTCGAAAATTATAATAAATTAAGTGTTGGTTAGTGCAGTTAACGTGGTCGGTTATGAAATTTCAAGTGGGTGAATTTCGGACAACAATGCCTTAATTGCGTACTTTGAGCTTATAAAAAACATTCAAGTACTAAAAAAGAAAAACAATGTTAGAAGAGATTCTAAAATATTTGGATGCAAAAATTTCGCAGATACGATCAACTACAAATCTGTTAGTTTCAAGGCCGAAAGTCCAGCTCATAGCCAATGATCCTTTGAATTCCAGAATGAATGGACACATTGACTGCATTTGAAGTGAATAATATTTTACTGGATAATAAAGATAACCGAAAGCTTATGGTTCCTATTATTTTTCTTTTGAAGAAAGTACCTTTAAATGAACCAGTCGACTAAGGCCCACATTTAAAGTCGATCCCTAGGAAATGAGTGCCGTTTGAGGGTTGATCAATCCTTGGATGTTGAACGAATAATATCGCAGCCTTGAGTGGTTCAATTTTGAAAATCGGGAAAATCGAGAACGCTGAAATTTCGAATGTATTCAATATCTTTATAAGTATCTGTAAAGTGTAAATATTAAATCTCCGAGAGGGTAACTCAAGGCTGAGTAACTATTCGTTTAAAAACCTTCAATCTACACTCAGCCCTCAAGAATCTACTACAAATTTGAGCCCTAATGACATTATTAGGAATTAATACAGGCCAAGATCTGTACGTCAAATTTACGGCCTACTTTTAAAAATGTCTCTATGTGACATAGTTTCACTTCTGGAAAGTAGCCAAATGTTGCTGACTCATCGAGAACCTCTTCTGCGGATGCAAATTCGGCTGTTGGACAGAAGAATCCTTTTTTAACTTAGCGACAAAGTTGGGTACTCTGGCGCGTAAGCCACAGTAGTACGGATCTTCATATTTCTTGTCGTTTTTCGCCTTCTCTTTGCCCCGAGAAGATCCGAACGGTTTCAGCCAGTTGTTTGAGGGCATCGTGGAGCCAGAATCGTCGTAGTCGGGCTTGGGGATGTCGTGAGGGTATTGAGGCTCTCGCGGGGGTAACTTGGGGGGTTTGTCGCCACGGCGTTGTTGGGAGAAGTTTGGTACCCTGGAAAGACATTGAGATTTCAACACAGAAAATAATTAATTGAACCAATTAGAATTTTAATTAAATCAATTAAAAAATGTAATTAACTATGTGACAGCTAACAAGTTTAACTGGCTTAATTAAACTCTGATTTCTAAAACAGTTTATTTGAATCTATTAAACTATTTTAATTCAGCCAAAACGCAAACGATTAATTACATTTATTAAATTGTTTACTTAGATTGAGTACACATCTTGACTTAAAATTAATGAACCACTAATATGAGTTTACCTGCACAAAGTAAAACAATTTAATTATATTTATTAAATTTGTTTAATTAGTTTAGGTAAAAGTATTTGCCTAGTTTTAATGAAATACTGTATTTAGATTCAGAAGTATATTTAAATATTTGGAATTTAAAAGAACAAACTGCAATTTGCTGAATGATGTATATTATATCTGTGCTATGACAAATCTTGGCTATCAAAAGATTTGGAAAACTTGATATTGATAGTTGTTTTCGAATCCAAAGAAAAACCTTCGAATTTTATAGCCCTTACAAAATTCGATATTTTTTACTTTCATTGATTGTTAACTTATTATAATAATTCATTATACCACAGAATAGCAGACAGCGTTAAAAACTTGGTTTATATTGCCTTATAGGTTATATTTATAACTTATTTTTTATTTTACCACGCCCCCTCCCCCCGCTCTCAATTACTACGAATTCATTCTGTGCCACCAGAACTCAAGTTCTACACCTACAGACGCAACTGTGTACGTGTTATGTGCTTAATGTATGAGAAATTTGGCAACTCTAAGCGATTTCTATTTTCTCGTTTCTGGCGTTTTTCTCCGCCGCCACTGGACCGATTTTCAAAAACTACAAATATGTTTCGTTCTTGGCGTAATCGAAACCGTGTGTAAACAATTCAACGCAATCTGAGCTGTACTTTTCAAGTTATAGAGCGACTAAGGATTACGGCAGGGTTGTTACGTAAAAAACCTATTAATGTCAAAAAACGATAAGATATCAACTTGTTAACTAGGTAGGCTAGTGTGCAAATAGTTCATTCCGCGCCGGCTACAAAATTGAACGACAGCTATTCCAATTTGACGTCTTGTAGTAAAACCCACATAATGTCATAAAAACCTACACAAACCGACATAGTGTCAAAAAAAGAAGATAGTCACTTTTCAAGTTACGTATTACCCTTGCCGGACAGACAGACACACACTGAAGGAAATGAGCCCCGCGGTTTTTTGTTTCCAAAAAACTTAATATCTCATTTTCGAAATTTTTCGCGATTACGATACTTCCTCACCCAGTGGCGTAGGAAGTAAACATTGTTGTTTTGTCTCCGGATATACTTTTTCGAGTTATAAGCGTCTAAAAAGTCTTAAAGAGCGATTTGCTAATGCTTAAAAACTGAATTGAAGATTTCTATTTTTGTGATTGTCTAGTATCATTAATTAACTATCTATTAGTATTCAAATTAAAGTTCAAACTCTTTCCTACAATAATCCAAAGAGTATTTTGCGCTTAGTTTATTTTGAATTTTTATAATCTCAGAAATATCCACTACATTTTCTTAATAGAACTCCATGATTTTCTGGCCAAATTACAACTTAATGACAATGAAAATACATTTCATATTTATCTGGTGTCACTTGCAAGTAAAAAAATTTATAATAGTCCACCAATCAGATCAAATATCAATTATGTATTTCCTTCAAGAATTCTCAACGAAATTAGCTCGCAATCTGCAGAAGAATTGGATTGGCAGTTTATATAGTCTGATTCCTTTGCCTTCCTTTTATAACTGCTATCCTCTTTGTGCAATGATGAGACTTTTTCCCATTTTACCTTATGTCAGTGCAAAGTCGCAGGGAGCAAGATCTAGACTGTAAGGGGGTTGCTCAGTAAGTGTCAGTTTAGTAGTGGTCACATACTCGGTGCAGGCTTTGGGGCGGTGAGCTGGAGCGTTGTCATGGTGGTACCAGTGTCCATTCTTGTCTTTGGTCACAGGTTTTTCATAGACTCTATGGGCAGGCAGTGTTCCGTGTACCACTTAGTTGTGACTGTCTTCTGTGTTTACAAAACGACAAGCTCCACAATCCCGATCGATTTGAAAAATACAGATATCATTTTTTTCTTCAGATCGGGATTTTCTGACAGCTACGGGAGTGTTCTCATCAGCAAAGACCCAAACTTTGTTTTGAGTCTTTGTCGGCACATCGTAATAATAGAGCCAAGTCACGTCACCTATCACTATGAGGTTCGCATAACGAGATTGCCCCTTATAAAACATTTTCAGCATCTTTCGGCACCAAGTCGTACGACGAGTCTTCTGCTCTTCCGTTAGACTATGCGGTACCCAGAGAGAACAAAGTTTCCTTACGTGTAAATGGTCATGCAGAATTGAATGAATTGCTGGCGCATGAAGGTGTAAAGTCTCCTCTATCTGTTGGTATGTCACTCTCCGATCTTCGTCAAGCATTTTCCTCGCAGCAGTAATGTTTTCCTCCATTACTGACGTTCGCGGCCTTCCTCCCCTCTCAGCGTCCTCCAAAGTGAAATTGCCCATTTGGAATCCTCTGTACCACCTGAATATATCGTACGATGAGGACGATCATTCTTTAATGCAAGCGTCATTTCTTCTAAGCACTGGTCTATGCTTAAACCACGCGTAAAGTTATACCGTAAAACTGCCCTTATCTCACTACGTGACCACGATGCCATATTTCGCACTTTACACTGTCAATACGAATGAACAACTAATTTAACAGACGTGCTTCTGGCGGCTACTATGCACTCCTGGATATGTCTCAACATGCAGTAAGTAACATGCAGCCTTCTGCGTCCGTTTGCTAAGTCATATTGCAGAACTTTTATAGTACCCTTTGTATTATCATTGTCATTGATCTGTATTTTGAAAAAGGCCACCTTGGCAGCTCAACGTCAGTAAAAATTAATATATATATATATATATATAGGTGAAAAATTAAAGCTTCCGCTTTTTGTTGGGTACTTCGACAAGATTTAAGCAAAGAGGACTCTTTATACTTTTTTAATTCTCTCTAGCTTTCAATGGACTTTGCCATCATCATCAGGAGCTGCAATTACAATGATAACAGTAGCAACAAAGGTGTAAAATGAATTTAAATTGACTCAACTTACAGTAGTATGTGAGAATGTTGCTAATTGTTGTTTACGCATATGATGAGGGAAACGTCCAGTAACATGGTGAGAGCTGAATAGGTTGCACAATAGTCAAAATTTATACAAAACATGACAAGAACACGTTAAAACAGATTAAAAATTATTTTAAAAGTTAGAACATTACATCGTGAAAACCACCTGATGATTGCACAAATTGGTGGTCATGGAATGATGAATTGATGAGTGACATGAAACCCTTTGACAGAAGGCCGAAGGATGTCAATGTCAGTATTGAAAGATGGAACGAATTGTGGGCGTGTGCCAAAAACGTTGCCAAATCACTTCAGATGAAGAGATTTACAGAATTTTATGATGGAATTAGTTAAACCGACCAGAGGCAGTTGAATAAACTATATTATTATTAATGGGAATTTAAATTAACAATTATTAATAAATCGTGAGGAGAGAATTATTATATTTTGAGTGGAATGAAATTTACTGGTGGAAACGGCCAAAACACAGATTCTAATTATGGTTGTGAAGAGTTGAAATTTGGGGAGATATGTAAGTTCTCCAATTTTTCGCAGTTTAGCAGATATGAGTAAATGACACTCAGTTGTTTAACATCTGTCTTTTTGTTGATACAGTTGTTATTCATGAAAATGTGGGACATTTCCAGGAATAAACGTTTGGAAAGGTGTTTTTCTTTATCAAGAACTTTGATACTTGTGTAATTCATAGAATGCCCTGTTGTGTTAACATGAGATGCTAGAGCGCATCTTTCAGGATGAAGCCTAGCATCACTTTTGTGTGATGTAATCCTTCCTTTAAGAGATCTGGAGGTCTGACCTATGTATATTTGGTTGCAGTTGTTGCAATTGATGGAGTAGACTGTGTTGGTTAAGCCAAGCAGCGGGACTTTGTCTTTCATTTTTGAAAAAATGCAGTTTATAGTGAGGACGGATTTGCAAGCAATTCGAAAGTTCAAAGGACTGCACAATCTGATAAGCTTAGGGGTCAGTTCCTTGATGTAGGGCAGGACAGCAAAAACAGGTCTGGAGTCCGGGTTGGTGCTAGTACTGTTAGGATTGATGTTATTATTGGGAATTACATCAGTTCCGTTATTGGGGGTTGTGCGACTATTACCTGCATCACCAGAGTTCGGCAAAATATTGGAAGGTGAACTAAAAATGATCTTGTTAATCAGACACTTCGGATAACCATTATTGATGAACAGTTTTGATAGTTTACGTAAATTTGAGGTGTGGAAGGTATTATCTGAGATGCTGATTACCCTTGTTTTCATCTGTTTTACCAAATTGATTTTAATCCCTAGTTTATGGTATGACCTAAAATTGAGAAACCGACCTGAGGCCATAGGTTTCTGGTACCAGTCTACCAATAAACTGTTGTTGTTGGTGCGAATGAGTCTTGTGTCTAGAAAGGGGACAGACAGGTTCTCATCTTCTTTTTCAATGGTAAATTGGATGTAGGGGTCATAGCTGTTGAATTCTCTGACAATACCATCCAGACCTATGGAAGGGAGGCATAAAATAATGTCATCTACGTATTTTTTTATGAAGAAGAGGTTATAGGGTAGTGTCGGAATAACTGTATCAAGCAGATCATCCATGACATATTCCGCCAAAATTGGTGACAGAACAGATCCCATAGGACAACCATGTGTTTGAGAATATATTTTGTTGTTGAAAGAGAAATAATTGTTATGAAAAAGGAATGTTATAATGTTGGTGAAAGATTCTAGAGATATGTTGCAGTGTTGACTTATCTCATTCCAGTGTTTATTAATAGTTCTTGTACATGCATCCAGATAGATGTTGCTGAATAGCGACA